AATGCGCTGTAATTACAGGGCATTTAGCCTTATTCTAATGATTAAAAACGCTAAAAACTCACCCCAAAGTCGTACAAAGCTCACCCCAAAGCGGATCCCGTCAAATGCAACCAATCAAAATGTTGGATCCAAGGCCCCAGCTTTTGCCAAATCGGGTTAGACTTTGGGTTGATGGTTAAGGATGACTTTGGGATGAGGTGTACATAGACTCCGGAGGTACCTGACTTTGGATCTTGCTAGGGACCCTTAGCCAGCGGCCCAGGTAAGCGAAGTTATGTACCATATAGTACAAGAACGATATGAATCTGAATCAACAGGCATAAAACAGGTCTAGCCAATAGATATGAGAGCATGAGAATATGAGACAGACAAATCTTACACAAAAGTACAGCCCCAACGCTTGGATAAATTTAATGCGGAAGTTTCAGCTAATCTGATCGGCGCTTGAATCAGAATCTTGTTGATCTGTTCTAGGATTCTATAAGAGGGTTTCGTCCATTGGGTTTGGTAATTCGTGGCACATTGAAGACTTAAGGTAGGTAGGTAGTAAAGAAGTAGGTAGTAAAGCCTTGCAGATATCGGCGTCCGAATCGTAGATCGTTCGCCAATTTAGCCTCATGGCTGAAAGTTTGATGTATGCTTCGTACGCAGACAACGATGATCATAAAATCCTACGCCGATAAGCTAATATCCAAAACAGGATACTAAGGATACTAGGCACTGATTAGAATAGGAAATAAGCTTGTTTGACTAGGAAGGACTTGGTAATTGGATAAATAGGTACTACCAAGTTAGGTGTCCCGTCGCATCGGTGTTCGTCGTTCGTCGTTCAAGATACCATCGTCTCCACGTTTAGCTGGCACATAAAGGTTTCCGTTCTGATCAGCGGCCGCTAAAGACAGATGTGACTTTATATCATACTAAACAGAAGTTATTCATATCTCTACCATTGTTGCGATGACAGCGGTTTCATTAGTAGATCGATCTGTTTAAGTAAGTTAAATAAGGTGATACCATCTGTTGTGAATCTGTTGTGATGAGAATGCTAGGGAAGGTGTCTTTGCTTTCCTTCAGCGATTCCAGCCGTTGCGATTGGACAAGCTATCCATGTCAGGTAATTTTAAGACGCTTCTGAGGCTTTACCAATTTGGACCAAGGCTTTGTCTGATGTCCGTGGCTTGGCAGGGATTACAACTCAAGCATGAAGTGCTACTTAATATAGTGTATGTACGAGTGTACCTACTATGGAGTAGCATTGATTGTTTGAACTTTGCATGCATAGATATAACTATATAAGTGATGGTCCTGAAGATATAGAATTCTGCGCCAATGTATTTATTTCAATGCGTTCGATTATTTATAATTATCATATATCATAGAACTATGATGAAAGAATGTACGGTATCTAAACCCAAATAAATACTATGTAGTTACCTAAGTTGAAGATGAAGGTGATAAGATGTAGGCCTTTAATTTGAAGCCCGCGTCCCGTAAACCGTTGCAAGCAAAGTACCAAGTAAGTTTGTACCTAGTGGGCCGTAACCTTGATCGCGGGTTGATAGAACTGATTGAGTTGAGTTCCATTGGATGAAATCTATGCCAAGGATTGATGGAGGGTAAAACGCACCTAGTATTGACTTGGGGGTCTATATCAGTTATTCGTCACTGTACAATCTGCATCAATATTTGTCTGCACGAATTAAAGTAGCTAAAGGTACAGATACAGCGCTAGGTCGGGGGTGGGGTACATGTGTACATAAGGCAACCAGGGTAAGACAGGGCAGGACCCGGCAGGTAGGGGGGCAGGCACAATTCATCCATGATCAAGGAGCAGCATCGCAGTTAGTAAAGCAACAACGACCACAGCGCAGAAGTGCAGAAGTGCAGAAGCAGCTTGGGGCATAATCTGGTTACGCGAATTTGTCTCTTGTTCCTGTCCTCTCTCCTCCTTGCCGACGATTCAGTCGTATACTCAAACTTCGACCTCTTTCCCTCCGATCTAATCATCCTCCTCTTCCTCAGTTCAGATCTCCGGTTTCACGGCGTACCGTCGTGGCCTATTTTCTTTTCTTGTTTCCTTGTTATCCTTCGTTTATTTCCTGTTCAATCATTCGTTTTTTTCTGCCGAAGGCCCAGCCATCTAAATTCACCTGGGTTTAGAGCCTCCGCCATAGTGTCCTAGCCGACGTCGTGCATCCTAAAGGCCACCACAGCATGTCAAGCGCGACCTGAATTTTAATCACTAATACGGTTTCTGGCTTCGGCCCCTTCTCCATCCAGTTTCACTTTCTCCAACTGTAGACACTCATTCGTCACCACGGAAACATCAACGCACCCGATCCTATCGGCATACCATTACCTCGAACAAAGCTTCGCAGTAAAAAAATCACCATTCCCTCTTAATTCCCATTTTAGAGCAATTGACTCTAGATAACTATCCACCTGATTTTTTTGGTTACAGTTACTACTTTTACTGCAACTAACCTCGGGACATAAATTTACTCGCAAAAAAAAAGAAACAAAAACAAACTACTTTTCCTATCAGCATCTCACACGCTCTACCGCTTATTAGCGCCAAGCCACCGCGAAATTTCCGAGACATACATCAGAGCCTTTAGCAGCAAACAGCCTCAGACGAGTCGATTCGAGTAGCATGTGGTATTGAGCAATGCTAGGATCAGAGCATCATGCATTCATAGCGCCAACGATCGCTACTATTGACAATTCTAGGAGGATTAGCGATATATCGCTCAATTCGACTTCCTCAGAGCAGAGCGAGTGTGATATGGCGATGTCGCGGACCCGATTAAGAGGACGTGGAAGAACGAATGGCGGGGCGGGATGGATGGCGAAGGCAGCCCTTTTCTCGGTTCTCTTTGCAGTTCCTGGTTCCATGGCGCAAGGCAATTGCATCTCGTTATCGGGTTCAACCACCTGCGGAGCTTTTCAGCCCGCTTCAATTTCTACTACGGATGATGACCTACGAAAAAGATTGTAAGTTTTCATTCCCTTGTGAAGACAAGTTCTCAGTGACCGGACTGGGACATCTACCTATCTTATAGTTCGTCTCAATTTCTAACCGATACACTCTCAGCCCCTTTCTTCAGTATGTCAAAGATACGGCTTCCTTTGACGACCAGTTAAGCCAATACGTTCGAACGAGCTATGTTCAAGAACAGTAAGTAAAACATCCTTATATCAGTAACCTAAACTTACACTATCACAGATATCAGAATCTTCTAGGGTGCGGTAACATCAACCTTGTCAACACTACTGATTTATATGCCCGCTTTACCACCTCGAAGATCTGTAATGTTATCATTCAGAAATCCATTGAGCCCTGCGGCCTGTCAGACCAGGCCTCATTGCCCTTGTGTGCCGACTCTTGTACCGAATTTGCTGAGAGTGAAGCCTACTTGGCGGCCGACACCAATCTTTGTCCCGGCACCAGCGATCGTCGCCAGGAGCAGATAAGAGCAGATTTTATCGATTGTTCCGTACCACCACGCTCATTGACACCTGGTAGTTGCATACAAGGCATAGCTAACGAGCCAGAAAATTGTGGATACGGAAGTAGCACCATTGGATTGTGCTCATACTGCGCCTCGGGTGGCATTAATTCAACCGACACCTGTTGTTACAACTCCGATATTGAGACAAGATGTGCTAACGTAGTCCTACCCACGATTACGCCGACGATGACCTTACCAACTGCAAGCTCCTCTGCAAGCTCGACGGCCACTCCGGTACCGGGAGCTCCCTCGGGCAATAATAATAGCCTTTCTGGTGGTGCTATTGCTGGAATTGTAGTCGGATCTATCGCCGGACTGGCTCTCTTAATTTTCCTCCTCTTGATGTGCATTAGACTTGCCCGACGGAGGCGCGGTAGTCAGAAGGGGAGCATTTTCAACCAGCCTTCCCCCTCTAGAAAAGGACCCCAGACAGCTCAGATACCCGCAAACGTGGCAGCGCCGCCCCAAGAGTACGAAGTTCTCCCCGGAGGAAGAATAGCTCGCATGTCCGCATTGGAAGGCCACACCGGAGATCCGTCCTCGAGACGTGGAGAATCAAAGCGTGGGGTTTCAGCAGGCGCAGCAGCAGTAGGCGCCGCTGCTGGATATATGACTGCAAGACGGAGGGGAGGAGACAATCATTCATCTTCGGATTCATTTGGAGATAGTCCTAGGTCAGAACCACGAGCAGCTATCTTACGCCCACCCCCTATGCGAAGACACGGTTCATTGTCTAGTAGTTCTGTACTCGCTGGTGAGGATCCTCAATCCCCGGCTAGTGCTGGGGGTATGTCATCTCCTCCCGGTGTCAACAGCCAACAGTCCGAGCAATTACCATTCTTTAAGGACTATTATTCGCAAGACGACGTCCATCCAGGCGAGCGCGTCGCAGTTCTATGGGCATACCAACCGCGCGCAGCCGACGAATTTGCCCTGGAGCGCGGCGATATGTTGAAGGTGGTTGGTATCTGGGATGATGGATGGGCGACAGGCGTTCTGCTGGACGAAAGGGCAGACGAGTGGGAGGCACGAAAACAGGCTCAGAGAGACAGTGGCGTATCGCACACCTCGGGTCGTGGACGAGATATATCGCCTCCTGCTAGCGGGGAGATAAAAGCTTTTCCATTGGTCTGCGTCTGCCTCCCTGAGCATTGGAGGAAAACTATCGAAGGTGACGGGTCCACAGAGACTGGCTCGAGCGCCCATCACGGCCACCTTACCTGAAGCCGATAACGACATATTACGCTATTCACTTATATTTGATAGATTGATGAAGCTTACTTGCGTTTGCATTGCTCCGGCGTTCATGGACTTCCGACTTAGACGCAACCTTCGGTCCGAGCATAGCACGATACCTGGCGTCGCTCTTCCTCCCGGTATACCGTCGATCTATGGCCGAGCAACGCCCAGGCTAATCGTCACCGGCTTGCTGCCCGTCTTCCCATCCTCATCCTGCACATAGACACGATAATTCGCATTATCGCGATTGATACGCTTAATGCTTTCGATTCCATAATACGCATTTAATTCTTTTCGGATGACACATCGCCTCGGATCAAGGATTTGACCGCAGGACTTTTGGTGGTGGTGGTGGTAGTGTTTACCAAGTTGTCCTGGGACTTTTGATATGAAGAGACGCGATTATATTAATATGACGACCACATGCATTTCAGCCCTCCCCATTCTATTCGATTGTTCATTCGATATACCCGGTGTGTTAGCAAAGGTGCTTGGAGTGGATGCTGTCGGGGAGGGCCATTGCTGTGTAATTACTTCTTAAGGAGGGGAGCCGTGTAAGACTGGACTGGAGCTGGACAGCGCACATGATGCTACCTATATGGCTATTAGACGAGCAAGGAGGTGAGGAGAGAGAATTCTGATAATATCTTCAATGGTACAGTACGAAGAGCCTTAGCCTAGATACCTGGCATAATGATGTTACTGAGGTTCGTCTTAGTCAATATCGTAAGCTTACCATCTCGATTATGGAATATAGAAACCTTTCCCGAAAATGAGTCCCTATACCTAACGTGTATGCTTTTTGTGGAATATTGAGAAGCCGTACATTATGTAGAGGTAAGATTACCTAGGTAGACATTCAGGTACATGACATATGTATTCTGTAATGTAGAAGTTTGGGTCTAGATCTACATGTAACTAAGACCTTCAAACTAAGGTAGTACATACATAGCATTTTAGGCTGTGCGTCAGGATATGACCCACTCTAGCTTCCAAGTTCCAAGCACCAAGCATTAGTAACCTCCCGCCTACCGACCTATGGAACCTACCTACCTACTCCTAGTCTCCCACTTACATATTGCCGTCATTAAAGATCACGCAGCCTTGCCAGCTGCCGCGTGAGCAGTCGACGTGATTATTTCATCCCCCAACACGATTACCAATAGTACAATACGCGCATTACAATTTTGTTTTTATTTTAACAAACCTTGTGGAAACCCTCGAAGATGGTCAATTCCTTTCGTCTTACAAACTTGGCTAGGTAGCACCATCACATGTTTGCGTGATGGGTAACAGCTACTCCCTCACCACGCCGTACGCCGGCTCTGCTGGCATCGACATACCAGAGTTAGCCGACTTGGTGCACGAAAGGTCGATCGGAAGTGCCCGGTTCATGAAGAGCATCCGTGCCCGTCACAATGATGGCGTAGTTTTGGCAAAGGTCACAGTGAAGCCCTATACCCCGCTATCTCTACGAGATTATGGCGACAAGATACTGCGTCAGTCATGATTGTTTCCTTCGCGTACTACTTTAGCTAACTAGATCCCAAGAGGAAAGGGATAAATTGAGAGATGTTCCTAACGCCCTAGGCTTCGAACGTGCCTTTGAAACTGAAGGAAACGCCTACCTCGTGCGACAGTACATATACAGCTCCCTTTACGACCGTATGTCGACGCGACCTTTTCTCGAAGATATAGAGAAGAAATGGCTTGCATTCCAGTTGCTATGCGCGCTGCGAGATTGCCACAGTCGGGACATATATCATGGCGACCTGAAGACAGAGAATATCATGGTGACGTCTTGGAACTGGCTTTACCTGACCGACTTCACTGGCACTTTTAAGCCTACGATGCTCCCCGATGATAACCCCATGTTTTACTCTTATTTCTTCGACTTGTCCGGTCGGCGTACATGTTATATTGCCCCAGAGAGGTTTATCGAACATATCGAAAACCCTCAGGCGCAACTCCAGGGCCATAAGCTTACCTGGTCCATGGATATATTTAGCGCTGGCTGTGTAATTGCTGAGTTATTCCTCGAGACTCCCATATTTAGCCTTAGCCAAATGTTCAAGTATCGCCGTGGTGAGTACGACCCAGTAATCTCGCATCTTAGTAGGATACCGGACCAGGGCTTGAGGGAGATGCTGTCCAGCATGATCCAGCTTGACCCCCAAAAACGATACTCCGCAGAGCAATACTTGGATTTCTACAAAGCCAAGGTCTTTCCTGAGTACTTTTACAACTTCCTCCACCAGTATATGGAACTCATCACCGATCCAAGTTCAGGCAGGGCTATGGTTTCAGGGCCCGTGAAGAATTTAGGCGAGGCCGATGATCGGATAGACCGAGTTTTCTACGATTTTGATAAAATATCATATTTCTTAGGCTACCGGGACGGCTCCGAGTCGTCCCAGCTTACTCACTTTACACCTCGCCTCGGCCTAGGTCTTTTCCCTGTACGGCTAAACATACCAAATAATGAGCATTTCACGTCTGCGGGAAAGCAACCCCCTACTGACGACGGTACTTTAATATTTCTCACTCTTGTCGCAGCTTCCCTTAGAAATACAGCCCGAGCAGCTTCGAAGATCAGAGCCTGTGATATATTATTAGCGTTCTCCGAGAGGCTATCTGACGAAGCGAAGCTCGACCGGGTTCTACCATATCTAATGACTCTTCTCAACGATGATAGTGATCTAGTTGCTATCGCAGCTCTTAGATCTGTCACTCAACTTCTGGCTCTTGTAACGGTGGTCACGCCGGTTAATGCCCACGTTTTCCCCGAGTACATTATGCCCAGGATGCAGGTATTTCTGTCAGGTGCCTCTAGACAACCTATCATGGGAAAGGAACGTAGGGAGCCGAGCGCCCTAGTTCGAGCTACATACGCGTCCTGCTTAGGTAGTCTTGCGACAACTGCTTCGAAATTCTTAGAGTTGACAGCCATCTTGAGAGCAGAGGGATCGATCAGTACAGCTGATCCGGAAGTCGAAGCTGGCAGCGACCCAGATGCTGCATTTGATGGACTTTTTGATAACGCGCAGAGCGAGCTTGTTGAACTATTCGAGACTCATGCCAAAGCTCTAGTCGAAGACTCGGACGCCTCTGTGCGCCGGGCGTTTCTCAGTTCCGTCCCAGAACTGTGCATGTTTTTCGGCAGTGCGGAGTCTAACGATATCATCCTCACTCATCTTAATACGTATCTCAACGACCGAGACTGGATGCTGAAGTGTGCTTTCTTCGATACGATCGTGGGCATTGCTGCTTTCTTAGGTAGCACTAGCCTGGAAGAATTTAGCCTTCCTCTGATGATACAGGCTGTGACCGATCCGGAAGAGCATGTGGTGCAGGCTGCATTACACTCTTTGGCCGAGCTTGCAAGTTTAGGTCTATTATCAAAAGCAAAAACTTGGGAGCTTATAGACGTGGTTGGCCGCTTCACAATGCATCCGAATCTGTGGATCCGAGAGTCTGCTGCAGAGTACATTTCCAGTGCCGCGAAGCTGCTGTCTCCCGCTGATATCAGATGCATTGTTCTACCTCTTGTCAAGCCATTCCTAAAGCCAGCAATCATCCCCGACTTTTCTGAGCTTGAATTGTTAGACGCATTGAAGAAACCCCTATCGAGAACGGTCTTCGACTTGGCATTGTCCTGGGCACAGAAAACTGATAAAGGGCTGTTTTGGAAAGCTGTCAAACAACAGAAACAGTCTACATTTACTATTGCGTCCACGGCATTGGCAATCCGTTCGTCTCGGGAGGTACAACCGCAAACACTTAACAAAGTTCAACGGAATGACGAAGATGAACAATGGCTTACCCGACTACGGAACATGGGGATGACATCTGAAGATGAATTCAAGCTGCTTGTTCTTAGGGAATTTATCTGGCGCCTGAGCCAGATGAGGAACCGCGACTTGCTCGCCCAAGATAATATTACCACATCCTTGAACAATATTATCCCTTTGAGAAGTCTAAATGTCAAATTGCAGACGATCATGTTCGACGAAGCTCCTGCCGAAGATGAGCTCAGATGGCAGCGGCAGCGAATTTTAGCCTCAGATAAAGGACCTTATACTATTGCCGATGCTCTGCTAGATGCGTCAATGACAATAGATGAGCCCGTCGGGAAGCGGCGTCGTGCTGCCATGAATAATCATCGTTCACATCTGAGCAGTCGCGGAGGAGCAATATCGCCAAGGACGAAAGATGGCCGAGCGTTATCGCCGATGGAATCTCGGGCATCTTCCCCAGTTAACGGCACAGGTTTTAACGAGTCGCGTCGTGCTTCCTCTACAACACGTGGGCCGGCTTCTCAGGATGATGATGCGTCTATTTCTGATTCTCCATACTCCACAAGGAGAGCCATTCGGCACCAGTCAAGTGCTCTGAATCTTTTAAATCGAAAAGATAGTGGTAGATCTATCGCAGAGACAGGGACGACTGAAGCCAATGCATTTGGCCAAGTCGAGGGCCCCTTCGCACAGAATCCGCCACCGCAAATTATAATTCCTAGTGTCGTCGCAGAGAATGGAATACAAGGAGGTCGACCGCGTGCTTCACATACATACGAGGGAAATGATCCTAATATACTAAAAATGCTCGACAACATGTATATCGATAACTACCCGCACGACATAGCCCAATTTGGGCCACTCGTTTCTCCAATAACAAGGAGAAAAGTAAGTAAAGCGGCGGGACAAAGCGGCGAGGAGGCGTGGAAGCCGAGTGGCAGTCTTGTCGCTACTTTTTCGGAACATACGGGGGCGATCAACCGTGTTCTTCCGTCACCAGATCATCTCTTTTTCGTAACAGGTAGTGATGATGGCTGTGTGAAGGTGTGGGACTCCTCTAGGTTGGAGCGCAATGTCACACATCGTTCACGCCAGACACATAAGCACGCCTCGGGCGCGAAGGTCATTTCCCTCTGTTTCATCGAGAACACGCATACATTCGTCAGTTGCGCCAGTGATGGCAGCGTTCATATCGTGAAGGTCGACACCGCAATCACCAGCGGAGCTACCAAGTATATCCGATTGCGGCTACTTCGCGAGTATCAGCTTCCAGCAGATGAATATGCTGTTTGGTGTGAGCATTTTAAACAGGAGCTGAATTCCGTGCTGATACTCGCAACCAACCGGTCTCGAGTCTTGGGTATTGACCTTCGTACAATGACACTTTTATACGTTCTCGAAAATCCGGTACACCACGGCACCCCTACTTGTTTCTGTGTTGATCGGAAGCGTAACTGGCTACTACTTGGCACGTCGCACGGGGTTTTGGACTTGTGGGACTTACGATTCAAGATGAGGCTAAAAGGCTGGGGACTGCCAGGCAAAACAGCTATCCACCGCCTTTGTCTTCATCCAACTAAAGGTCGCGGGAAGTGGATATGCATAGCAGGCGGTACTAGCCTTGGCGAGGTTACCGTCTGGGATTTGGAGAAGATACAATGCAGGGAAATTTATCGGGCGGGCGCATCTAAAGATGGCCCTAAAGGATATAAACCATGGGACGTTGACGAAGACAAACCCGAAGGCATGCTCGACCGTTTCGCGACGAATATCGAGCCAACCGCCAGCGGCAGTGGGGATCGCGGCGTCCGAGCCATGGTTGCTGGTTCGGGTGCTATGGAAGACCAGCGCGAAGTACGGTACGGATATATCCTGACAGGCGGAGCGGACAAGAAACTACGGTTTTGGGACCTAATGCGCGTCGAAAATTCCTGCGTGTTCAGCGGACTTGACGGCGAAGATGCCAGACCGGTTTTCACCACGGTCAGCACGCCGAGCTATCCTGGGCTTACTCTTAACGTGGAAAGGCTACCAAAGGGAGGTAATGCGACGGGTGCGGACCAGAAAGGCGGCAAGAGTAACAAGGCGACGAGCAGCAGAGAAAAGCCACCTAGGCACGCGGTCATATCGGCCGAGCAGGGACAGCTGCTCAGAAGCCATTTAGATTCGATCCTGGACGTGGCGGTATTGGAAATGCCTTACACGATGACTATTAGTGTAGATAGGTCAGGGGTCATCTTTGTATTCCAGTAAAAGTGATAAATATTACTACAGGTGGGCGTCTTAGGTATGGCTTCGACTAAGGCAGGATAACCTTAGGTAGATTAAATTACGGGCGTAATTACGGCTTAAAGACCCTGGAAACGACGAAGCCATGCGCTTGTGGCTTATGTAACAAGTACTGTTTGGAGAAAAATGGAATAGATGCCTCTTTGACTTGTATCTTGGTGATACTTACATGTAGTACCAGGTACAAATATTTCAACATATCGGGAGCTAATGCAAGATACCTAGGTTAGGTACATGTCGTTACACCACCGATAGGAGAAAAACTGCGGGGACGGGGACGGGAAGAGAAGCAAGGATGACGTCGCACTCTTGCATATAAACATATAAATATATAAACATATAAACGTATAACTACATAAACATATAGGTAAACACCAAGTACCTCCTTACCATTCATAAAAGAGTATCTAAGTCTATGTAATCTTTATGGATGGCACATGAAATAAATCCTCAAAAATGCCACCACAGAAAACGCTGCAGGCTTTCCTGGCCACAGCCCGGGCCGCGTTAACGGCCCCGCCATCCAAACGCTTGACTCCGTTGCACTTTGTCGTAGGCAATGAATCGGCTGGTACGTATTCTTATTTATATCTCCATGTTCATATATATTTTCCCATCTATCTTCAGACTTAGAGGCCAATACTAAATATAACTAGATCTCGACTCCTTATGCTCTACACTGTTCCTGGCCTATCTCAGGACTCACTCACCGCCGCATACCTTGCACATCCCTCTGTGCCATTTACCCCGTGATGACCTCACGCTGCGGCCGGAATTCACCGCCGTGCTGAAATATGCCGCCGTCACCCCCGACGACGTGTTGACGCTGACTGAGCTCCCCGGCGGAGACGATGGTCTGAAGCCCGAGGACACGCGCTGGCTGCTCGTCGACCACAATGTCATGACAGGCCCGCTAGGCCAGGCTTATGGTGGCAGAGTCGTCGGATGTATCGACCACCACGATGACGAAGGCAAGGTCCCCGCTGATGCCGAGCCGCGCGCCATTGAGAAGTGCGGTAGCTGCACGAGCCTGGTCGTGGAACAATGCAGCGAGACATGGGAGGCGTTGGCGAAGCGGGACGGCGGCAGCAACAAGGAAGCCGCACGGATTAATGCGCAACTTGCGTATCTCGCCCTCGCGCCCATCCTCATAGATACCACGAACCTCGGCAACAAGGATAAAACGACGGCCCACGATGAGCGCGCCGTAGCAACTGCCGAAGCTCATCTCCGTGCGGGCTCCGAGGGCAGTGGTGGTGGTGGTGGTGTCGGGAGCGGATACGACCGCGACGCGTTCTTCGCCGAGGTTACGGCCCTTAAGGAGGACCTCTCGTACATGTCGTTCCGCGATATATTCCGCAAGGATTATAAGGAGTGGGACGAGGGCCGGCTGAAACTAGGTACCTCGTCCGTGCCGCAGGCCTTTGCATTTCTAGTGCGCAAGGCCAAGGGCGAGGAGGCGTTTGCTGGAGAGTTGGAGAAGTGGTGCGAGGAGAAGAGCATCGATATTATGGCGGTGCTTACCACGTCGAAGGACGATGGGGAGTTTAAGCGCGAGCTGCTGGTCTGGGCGCGGGGTGGTTCGGAGGTTGTAAATGCTGTGAAGGCGTTTGCGGGGAAAGATGGGAGGGATAAGTTGGGTCTTGGTACGTGGGGAGAGGGGAAGCTCGATTTGGAAGATGGGGAAGGCGGCTGGAGACGATGCTGGACGCAGGCGAGGGTCGAGCATAGTCGTAAGCAGATAGCGCCTATGCTGAGAGAGGCGTTAAAGGGGGTCAAGAAGGAATAAGGGGGGGTAGGGGAATAGCACATTAGAGTAGGTTAGAGGTCTCGAAAAGACATGCATCGCGTAGATCAACGAGGATGAGTCAGGTAGCATCAGCATTTGATAGATAGATACCTAGGTACACTTAGAATCCCATTTCTTTTTCCATTTTCTTTTGTCACCTTTACGATAACTCGGACCATCGTAATCCACCCTAGCCTCTCTAGGATCTCAAACCTATCAAATTGCAGCGACGATGGCGTCCAGCCACTTCGCAAGCCGGTACCCCTGCTTGGCTATCTGCAGGTCGACGACGGGCTGCGCGGTCGTCGTGTACTGGCCGCTCAAGTCCTTGTTCTCGACCGCGCTTACGCCGTCCGCCAGGACCGTCGAGCACACGTACGCGTTGCTCTCGGTAGCCCACTTCAGCGCCGTCGACGTCTGCTTGGCTGTCGAAGCGACGCTGAGGCCGCTGACCCAGCTTGCTGCTTGGGATTTGTAGGAGCCGGAGTCGATTTCTAAGGGGGATGGTTGTTAGAGGGGCGTAGCTGTTTTTTTATCCGGAATAGGGGGGATGAAGAAAAGAGGAGCGGATGGGGTTAGAGAAGAGAGAAGAGATAGGTACGTTACCCTTAATCAGGTCCGAGGCCCATGACTTCGCCGACGACTGCGAGGACCCGCCGGAAATCGACTCGGGGATGTTGCTGTCCCAAGCCGCGTGCAGGTTTGTGTCGTCGCCGTCGTATTGCACGTCGATGTCGTTACCGCCGACCTCTAAAGCCTCGCAATGTAAAGGCTGTCCTATATCACCGACAAACTGCCATGCCATGTTAATTCCCCCGTCTCAGTGCGCTACTTCGTCTGACGTCCCCTTGGTAATTGCTTACGTGGATGATCATCTATAGTTAATTGCGCTCGTTAATACTGGTTTATCTACGTAGGTACTCGAGTATACCCGTCCGAGCAGGATATTCTGAAGCAGAGTAGAGTACGAAGTAGTAGGTAGATGTGCTTACCTTGGCTGCAATCTGCAGATTAGCATTGCTCGCCTTCTGGCCGATCAGAATAGTCGTGTAGTTCTGAAGAGCGCGCACGATGCAGCCCTCAGCGCCGCAGTCGCGGTCCAGATCGACACCGCAGCTGGACGGCGGGTCATCATTCGCGTCGATATAGTGGAACGACGCCGAGAACTTGCCCGCACTCGTGTACCGGTAGCTGTCGGCCCAGGCCGCCACGCCGGCTAGGTAGTCCGCCGAAGTGTCGCCCAGCAGGTCCTGGAAGAAGGATTTGGTGGATGCGCTGACGTAGTTGCTCGCGACGTAGGCGACTGTCTCGTGGCCCATGGCGCCCCAGGCCATGGCGCCGGGGAGGGCGGCGACGGATAGGAGGGCGAGAGATGCGATGCGCGTCATGGTGAGTAAGTTAGGTACCTAGTTAATTTCCTTCTTACGGTTTGGATATATTGTAGTGACAGGAAAGACGACGACGACAAGTCAGGATGCCAAGATATGATATGAAGATATTATATACACAAGTAACCACCCCACCTAGTCCAACCTCATCTTCACTTATTTACACGTGTGTATGTCGGTATATGTAGGTATATACACCCGGGTATCAACTTGATTTAACAAAACCCACACCAAGCAAACCAATTATCTTCCCAAGCTCTCTCCAAGCCCTCGATATAAGATGAGAGATAACGGAGATGTAGCATACATCCAGCAACACGGCGCGAATCTAGCGTCGAACGACACCAAGTTTACAGAAGGTGGCTGTTCTGATCGCCACTCAGCTGCGTCGTGGGTAGATTCGAGGTAGCATCGAGCCGGGATCGTCGCCACGGATAACCCTTATCTCGGGGCGCATCCAATCAAGCAAGGCACGTTGGCCAGGAACCGGTATTCCTTGACGTTGCTGAGGATGGTCTCCGCGATAGTGGTTGGCTCATTCGTGCCAGAGAGCTTGCCCTTTTAGTCCAGACCCGCTGTCTGTGACCTGCCTTAGTTGGACTTCGGTGAGGTGCGGATCTAAAGTTCTAATCCCTCCCGCAAATCGGTTAAGGACCTTCTGGAGGAAAACCGACTTGGGATATTTCGGTAGTTGATCTTGGCGTAGACTTTTATATATCGCAGTTGGAAATTAGGTATATATGCTTGGGTTCGTGTTGATTGTAGGTCAGTTGATTATTATTGTCGTCAGGTTCAGCGAAGCAGGATTATGGGGTCTAGGTATAGAAGCCGGGGTATACGGTTTGAACTAACGCAACACGCCAGCGTGCCCACATCCATGCTTACGATTCAGCGGATATACAATGGAGACCAGGGTTTCCGGAAAGGGAAGGTTGTTATGATTGACGCAGCTGGAGAATCGAACTGAAGAGTGAAAACGAATCACCTGTACGACCTCGTGCGAAAGCAAGAGAGGTCATAGGTTTAATATATTCAACTAACTTGCATGGAAGATACGTTGGTTTCGTAAATCTTGGCCGACAACTTCCAAAATGGCCATGGAGACGAGTTAACTTGTAGGTTTATATGCCGATGTTGACTCTAAGATTGTACATCGTCCATCCTTAAGCCTATCGCACACCGGTCTGATTTATCAAATGTATGCTACTCAAAAGCCTGACGAATTCTTTTCCTCTTCGAGTTTCGTGAGAATGGGGATTTCTCAGTATGGACGTGAAGATCTCCTGGGCAGTTTTATCAGCTATATCAATGCACCTTTTAATAGCATCTAGCACTACACCACGAGGTAGCACAGGCGGGTTCTCTGAGAGCATCTCCTGAAAGCACCATCTTAGCATCGCTCTACAAACCGAATGTGAACCCGTAGCGGATGCCAGATTATAGGCATGAATATACATAGCTGCCGAGCGCGGGCGTAGGTGCCTCGCAGGTATGCCCCATACGTTCCGAAATCTTTTCCAATCACGTATTTCGATGTATACTTTCATGAGTCTCATGATCTGTGGTTCCTCTAGTTGGGATAAATCCGCTTGCACCAAAACGTCTTCTAGTCGCTTCATGAGTTGTATGTAATCTTGAGACGCGGATCGGTTATAAGATCGAGCTGCTGCTTCGATAATAGTGACGATAATATCACTAGCGAGGACTGGTTTCCCACGTTGCTGAACTGTTTTCAAGAGTAGTAGGGCCAGTCTCGTTTGTTCATCTAAACCCCCTATATCCGAGCTGTAAATGCACGTCAAAAGCTGCAGACACTGTTGCCGCGTGAAAAGGATGCCATGAAGGCACATTTCTTCGACCAACTGCCATATGTCGTTTGGCAACTCAGTAAGATTATTTATACCAAGCTCACATGCCTTCGTGTGAACTGCGAGACGAAACCCCCAGGTTTCAGATGGATGGAGGCCCTGGCACGCAAGCTGGGATAATCGAAGGAAAGACTTCGAGAAGGATCGCCCTTCATCTGAAGTAGAAATGACAGATGGATGGCCAAGCCGAGCTTCTAGTAGAGATAGAATACTGGATTTCTGATGAACATCAAATTTTAGACTCTGCTCAAGTGCCTGTTCCGATTCGATATTAAACAGTGACTTGATCACCGGTGCTTCATCTCCGATCGTCCGATGTGTTGAATAAAACCGTGTCTGCTCAAAAGGCGGTTTACTTGACGTGTCGTTGAAGGGATTGTTTCCAGTAGTTGTATGCCGGCGCGAACTGGCGAGAATAGCCTTCTCCAATGGGTGGAGGTCTTCCGTATCCTTCACCTCTGACTTTGGCCGCCTATGCTGCGATTTTATGGGCCTGTGCTCAAAATTTATGGGCCTATGTTCAGGCTTTGTAGGCCTATGATCCAGTTCCACGGGCTTGTGCTCCGACTTTACGACGATTTCGATGGGTTGACCTATACTTTGTTTCCACAAAGCTTCGAGGCCCATTTCGGCTCTTCGAGATTCTGTCATAATCTGAACGACAATTGTAGATCCATCTTGAGCGGCACCGAAACCGGCAACACGCCCATCGCCGGCAACAACCGCAGACTCCTCTTTGCCCTGGTCTATGGTCCCTAAATTAACACATATCCAGCCAGTTCTAATGCCGTCATCGGTATCCTCAACACCCCCCAGGAGCTTCGCCCGCTTAGCTATCCGACGCAGCTTTGTCTTACGCTCATTTGGTCCGAGCAAGCCGTCAGCGTGAGCCCAGATATGATGCTTAGCTCGTAGCCATCGTAACAGCCGCCCAGAGGATACGTTGAGATGGCGCTCACTCCGTGCTGTGCCAAACAACATGAAAAGGTTCGGGCCTAGTGCTGCTGGGGGGTCTAGTTCCCTAAGATCTAACAGAGAAAGTTCGTCAAGGCCCAACTCCTCGGAAACATATTTTAATAATGAGCTAATGATCTCCGGAGATTCTGAAGGAACTTCCGGTAATGGCGGCGGCTCAATAGTAGCCACATGTCTTGGAGGCTCGACTTGAAGATACCAAGGGGTACTAGTTAGACTCGTGCTCTCCGCGGTAGTCTCATGACTTTTATCATCAGATATGTCGTCCTTTTCTTGGTCTATTTCGGTCGACACCTTGCTATTTGAGATGTCATTTTGAGATAACCGAGATGAGACTGCCCGAATTGGCATCCCAGTAACTAGTCGCGGTCGACATTGTAAAGGACTAGGTCTTATAGTGGGCAAAGTATTCGTAGAACAAGCAAATAATTTCAAAGCAGCCAGACGGCAGTGAGAGCAGGCCACTGTGGCTACTGCATGTCGAGTTACCATGTCGTCGGCTGGATGATGTCAAGATGATAAAAAATATGTGGTTGCCGACCCTTTATTCTAGGCTTTATACCGGTAGTCAATGAATTTGACTGACCTCTAGTCTTGATATAATAATTCGGAATAAGGTTAAGTCCGTAAGTTAAGACGTTAATGTGAATGAATACCCAATAACCTCTAACCTTAGGTAAGTACCTAGGTAGGGTCTAACTTTAATGGAGGCGAATTCGGTTGTTAGATTTTCTAAGTGGGGCATTTATAAGCTTTAAGCCAATTATAAGCTACCAATTCAGATACCTATCAATTCCTATCAATTCTTATCGCACTTATCTAAGCCTAACTGAGGGGGACTAAAAAAAATACGTTCGCAATGGCAAAAATTTTGAAGCTGGATCTTGGTGAAAAAGCTTGCCTCCCAAATACTTAATCATCCCTTTCAAATTCGACCTTGAGTCGGGTCTTTCTTCCTACCTACATAGGCTGGGTTCGTACATATAGGATCGCCTCGTCGGTTTTACCTATTCCTTCAAACTTCATGTTATAATAATAGTTCAGCAAAATTCTCGGCAGCTTTTAAAAGAGCCTGTTGGGAATAGCTTTTCCTTTTCCCCTCCTCCAAAATACCTAACCCATACCCAAGCTGTCGCGATGCTTGTGCGACCTCTTCCGGCTCGACAGAGCCTTTCCTTACCTCGACTCAATGCAGTGAGGCGACCACAATTAGTTGCTAGACACCCGCCACTCCATTCTTTCCGTACGTCGAGTCGTAGACTTTTAACTACCCGAGTCGAATTGCTACCGAGGAGGAGAAAGAGCTCGCAGGACACTCATGGGTCAATCTTCCAGAGGTCTTTGGCTACGACTATGATCGACCCTTTTCGAAAAGATGGAATTCCTTACGACCAACTCTCTAAAAATTACATGCATCCGCTATTTCCTCCTCGTTTATACGATATACGACCCTTCGACCCTTCTTCGCCATTGCTCGTCAAACCCGCAGAGGATCCTTTTCCTCGCTCCAGGATTAACAACCATGGCATACCTGGTGGTGTCGATGAGATGCTTTCGGTTTTTGATGCGTGCTTACAGGTCGGCAAGCTAGATAGAGCGGCTCTTGTCATTACTCGCCTTAGTGACAGCGGCGCCCTACAGGGTTCTCCCATGACTGAGCTTCACAACCAATACCTTCGCGCAGCCATTGACAAAGCTTTTGAACAACCAGACCCCGAATGGGCTCAGTCTTTACATAACTGGTACGAGGTAAATATTAGATTTAAAAATATTCCTCAAACACCCGAGACCATCGCTTGCATGTTGAAGATTTCGCTCTTATCGAGTCAAGGAACACGACTAGAACGGCATGTGGCCCGGTACATGGATATGATGCCTGGGGATGCTATATATCAAGTTTTATCGGAAGAGGATATCTTGACCCAGCAAGACGTCGGCATCATCGCCAGCATCTATCAGCCCGCTTCTGGTCTCCTGGAAGACTGGGCGCCTTCGCTACAAGACGAGGAATCGCAGCCGTTAGACACGGAAGTTAGCTCAGCTGAATCGGTAGACCTTTCTGAGACTAAAACGGAGGTGGATGATACGCCCGAAGTTTTAGCCGTACCTCAGAAAGGATTAGGCCTCAAATCACTACGCGGCGTCTTGTCTTTCTTTTCCAAGGTTGAGGGACGGGATCTTTCGAAGTTGTCGTACGCAGAGCGACGGGAAATTCAGGCTCGGCTAGAGCATGATTGTGTTGATGCTGCTATTAAACGATGGAAAGAAGAAAACCAGACGCTCATGAAAATGGGCTTGAACACATCGTTGTCTACGAGCGCCTTGAATTCCCAACTATATGAATGGCAATGTGCTCTAGAAAGCAGGCTACAGGAGGAATTCACGCTATTTGAAGTCTCAGAAACCCGAGAACGAAAGAATGATGCGGATCGGGATCGCTGCTTATATGCCCCCTTCCTAGCGCAATCAACACCGACGAGGCTAGCCGCAGTCACAATTATTAGCGTTTTAAATGCCATGTCATCTGTAGGTGTCGACGGGGGTATTCAGCTATCTACTTTGCTCAGCCATATCTCCAAGGCAGTAGAGGAGGATATTAAACATATGATACGGCAGAAACGCATAGAGGAAGCTAAGCGTAAAAATAAAGCCCGGAATAATATACTAAAGCTTAAACAGAAGAGTGCAATAAGCTCATCGACAGATCAGCCACCGACCGAGACGGCCGACACAGCCGGTTCTAAGATGGCCGACACAACTGATTCTAAGGCGGCCGACACAGCTGATTCTAAGACGGAATCTAATGTCGTGGAGGCACCTTTCTTCGAGGTTAAGTCGTGGCCTCCGTTGATTAAAACCAAAGTCGCCGTTATTCTACTATCTGCTTTGATAGATACAGCAAAAATGCATGTGGTCCGGGAGCACCCCGAAACCAAGATTCCCGTTAGTCAGCAGCAACCTGCTATGGCTCATACTACGATAAACAGAAAAGGAAAGAAGATTGGGCTAGTCATGCCGAACAAATTCTTGGTTGAAATTATGAAGCGAGAGCCTCCTGCGGATTTCCTTGCCAGGCACCTACCTATGCTTGTCGAGCCGGAACCCTGGACGAAATTCGACAAAGGGGGATTCATTGAATTTCCTGCCTATCTTGTACGAGTCAAGAACGGCGAGAGGGACCAAAAGGTGTATGCCGAAGCAGCCATAGAGAGGGGAGACATGGAGCAGGTGAGCAAAGGTTTGGATGTTCTTGGTCGAACAGGATGGAGAATTAACAGACCTGTCTTCGATGTAATGCTTGAAGCGTGGAACAGTGGCGAGCCGATAGCAAACATTCCTCCATTGGATCCCCAAATTCCCGTACCCCCAGAACCAGAAGCATCTGATGATCCTCTGCAGCGGCGGGAGTGGCTGAACGCCGTGAAGGCTGTAGAGAACGAAAAGTCAGGTCTACACTCCGAGCGTTGTTTCATGAATTTCCAACTTGAAATTGCCAGGGCCTTCAAAGACCAGACCTTTTATTTCCCGCATAACATGGACTTCCGGGGCCGAGCTTATCCGATCCCAACTTATCTCAACCATATGGGCGCAGACCATACACGAGGCTTGCTTCGTTTTGCCAAGGGGAAGGAGCTTGGCGAGAATGGGTTGCGATGGCTTAAGATCCACTTAGCAAATGTTTTTGGCTACGATAAGGCGAGCTTGAAGGAGCGAGAAGCGTTCGTGACGGACCACCTTGCCGATATTTACGATTCTGTCGCCAATCCTCTAACAGGGGGCCGGTGGTGGCTCCAGGCCGAGGATGCATGGCAATGCCTGGCAACTTCTTTCGAACTGAAGGCGGCTCTCGAATCTCCTGATCCCACTAAATTCGTGTCTCACCTCCCGGTTCACCAAGATGGTACATGCAACGGACTGCAGCATTATGCGGCTCTCGGTGGCGACCTTTGGGGCGCCCAACAAGTGAATCTGGAACCCGGAGACCGCCCCGCAGATGTGTATTCTGCAGTAGCCGACCTAGTAAAGGAAGGAATCGCGAAGGATTTAGAAAATGGCGATAATGTCATCGCGAAGGCGGTTGATGGCAAAATAACAAGAAAAGTGGTGAAGCAAACTGTCATGACCAATGTGTACGGTGTTACCTTTATTGGCGCCAAAGCCCAAGTACAAAAACAACTCGATGCGGCTTATCCCAATATCCGACAAGAAACAGGCATACCGGTAGCTATTCTCGCTTCTTACGTCGCTACGAAAGTGTTTAAGGCACTATCTACTATGTTTCGCGGAGCTCATGATATTCAATACTGGCTCGGAGAGTGCGCCGGCAGAGTCTGCCGTGCGCTGACCCCAGAGCAGATAGATCGAATTGCCAATGGAGAAGCGCCAGCGCCTAAGACAACACGTAAGGCGAAGACGTCAAAGCCAATGAACAGTACCGATGAGATCCTCAGTCAATTCAGATCGACAGTCATCTGGACGACCCCCCTCCGCATGCCTATTGTCCAACCATACCGCAAAGCTGGAACTCGTGTGATCACTACCTCGATGCAGGATCTTACCCTGCAAGTTCCCGAGCGTTCGGATCCCGTCAATCGACGGAAGCAATTGCAGGCTTTCCCCCCTAACTTCATCCATTCTTTGGATGCTAGCCACATGCTGCTCTCCGCGTTACAGTGTAATGAGCGTGGTCTCTCATTTGCGGCTGTACACGATTCCTTCTGGACACACGCTTCTGATGTTGACGTTATGAACGATGTGCTTCGGGACAGTTTCATCCGTATACACAGCGACGATGTCATCGGACGCCTTGCATCCGAATTTGAGGCCCGACACAAAGGTTCTCTCTATCTATCTAAGCTCGAACGAGGTAGTAAGGTTGGGAAATTGATAGTTGAACTTCGCAAGACGAAGAAATCGAGCGTGAAAGATGAACTCCTCGAGGAGCGAGAGAGAATGCGATTATTGGCATCTTCAGACCCTGAGGAGATCAAGAAAGGCCGGGAAATGCAGACGCCTGCTAGCATCTTTGAAGAGTTGTCGGCCCCTCAGCCCTTGTCTAGTGCGGAAGATATGGAAGGCATGACATTAGGCGACATTCCTGATGTAAAAGAGATACTAGCCAACGCAATGGAAACAGCCGACGAAAACGACGAGGACGATTTAGCATTAGCTTCAGAACCCGTCAATGCCGATGAAGCTACCGAATCGGACACAAATTTCTCGACGCCAGAAGCGACGGAGCAGCTTCTAGCTGGAGTGACAATGGGCCGTTTCGAATTAGAGCTCAGCAAAAGCGGCCAAAAAGCAGTTAAAGCAAAGGCCAAGACCAAGCCTAGAATGATCAACGTGTGGCTTCCGGTTGCTTTCCCCGAGGTGCCTAAAAAGGTTAGTTATTCCGGTATTTGATTTAGCAGACGAGCATAAGGCTAATTAGTATTCTCAGGGCGAATTCGATGTCAGTCGGCTTAGAGCTAGCCAGTATTTCTTCTCGTGAGCTTGGGCGAACTCGGCAAGGAGCCCGAGTTTTTACGATGGCTCGAAGGTCGATGGCGTTATGATTATGTTTATTACATTATGAGCGAATGCATCATGGGGCGTTTGTTGGTGATAAAAAAGTGCTTAGTAGCGCATGGCGGATGACTAGGAGCATAGAGGCATTATATTGTATATACGAGGCTCCTGTATCGAGGCTCTTGTATCAATCTGTATAGTACACGGGAGGAGGTAGTCTTGGAGGATGGACTACGGGACAAATTAGGGACGGATGGGAACAAAACGAGAGTCATCCACTCCAATAGTGTACAAATTTAACAGCAGTCAAATCGAAAATATTAACCTATCTAGGTATCTATCCATGTCTTACGATCATAACAAGACTAAAATCCCATTCTGTTGATAGGCTATTGTGTACTCCCGAGCACAAGAGCGAAATGAAGTCAGCAGTTCTTCTCCTGTGCGGATCTCAGCATGGGACGCAGTGCAACATCCAAGAGGTGAGAGAATATTGAGGCTATTTATCACACTGCAGCTACGAGGTAAGCGAGGTCCTATGTAGACCAGCCTATGGGATCTAGCTAGGTAGGTTTAATATCCGGGGTCGCGTATGTGTAGGTAGGTAGGTACATAATGTATTCAAAGCAGATGTATATTTTTAGATGTGTCGCATTCGATATGTAGGTATGTACCTATGTAATGTAGGTATGTATATACCTGATTTGCGGGGAGAGGAGAACAAGTGTTGTGACTAGGTTAAGAGGTATGTATGTACCTAGGTTAGGTATGTATGCGCTCATTTCTAGGTTACATAGGTAGGTAGGTATGTATCTACCTCAACCAGGATTAAGCGTCCTTCCCGGCCGGTCGATATGCGGACCAAGAAATGAGGAGAGCTTGGAAACGGCAGCCTAGACGCAGCCATCCCCGCGTCTCATTGGCTGACGCTCTAGACCGGAACCGAGATGCGGTGAGCTCATACATACATACATACATACATACATACCTACATACGAGGTAGGGCTGAGGTGAGGCGGTTCAGCCATCATCGTATCGTAGAATTATTCCCCTTGTAGCTTGTTAGGGGGACCATAACTTTATTTTTTTATTTTTTACATATTTTATTCTTTCCCCTTTCCATATGCTCGTTCCATGTCTTCTCCTGGTACGTGGGTGCATACACTGTATTATGTACATACATAATATGGACATAACTTACATTAATTGTATGATGTATACATTAAGTACATACATGTATACATAAAAGGGGTGAACCGCGGTAGCAGGAAAGCAGGATCTCCCCGTGCGACGCGAGATGAAATATGCCCGTATGTATGTACACCGACCCCAGCTTTCTCATTCGAGAAATAGCGAGGAAAGCGGAAGGGACGAACCGAGTCCTACTCCCTTCATGTCAGCCCCCCTCCTCCTAAGGCTCCTTGGCTGGCTTTGGCTTGATCTTGTGATTTGCTTTTTTTTTTTTTTTTTTTTTTTTCTTTTCTTCTTCTTGTTCCTCTTGGCAACGGATAGGGGAAGGGAGTGGCGTCGAGGCTCGTGTTTATGGTTGTATATTATATACATATTATATATGTACGTACACGCATATCGTATCAGGTATAAAAAGAGAAGCTTGACTCCTCCCCTTCATCAACAATCCCATAAGATTGATTTGCTTAAACTAAGTTCATCAAGTGAAATTCGCCTACATAATCACATCTTAACAATGTTGTTCTCACCTCGAGCTCTTATCTCCGGAGCTGCCGCACTGCTGGCTTTCTGGTAAGTCACCCACCACCTGCTCGTAACATCTACCTCGACAACAACATGAATTAACATAAAAACGTCACAGCAATGTAGCAGCAGCATCCCCCGTAGCAGAAGTACCTAGCCCGACGATCCCCGGACACTGCTCAACTACGATGGACGACTTTGAGCACACCACTGCTTGGGTCAAGACTCACGAATGCTACACTTACACCAGAACGATCCAGTCCTGTAAGGCCCTCCTTGTAGAATAGCATTTAACATGCAAGTTACTGATTACATGTCCAGCTACTTGCCCTACTCTATCATGCGCACCCAGGCCAACAGATGCAATCTGCCCGCTCTACATCAAGGTCTCAAGCGTTACCGTGCCATGTTCTACGGACTGCTGCCCGACGACGTCAACATCGTATGTAGCCAACGGCGCGTGTCCGACTTGCAATCCTTGCCCTATCCCAACCGAATGGATCACCTACACGACCGGATGTGCTGGTACGCCTACTATTACATCCGTGACGATCGAGACCCCGCCGTGGAACACGCCCGGTTCTCTTGAGAATTAGCAAGAGAGGAAGGTCGGAATCTAAGGAACTGAGGGGAAAAGAAGTGTAGTCTGTAGCTCTTCAATGCAGCTTAATTATTGATTTCTAGACCGCTGTGTAAATTTTGCGATTATCGTACTGTAGCCCCCTGTAAACTTGGGACTGTGCACACGCCTCCACTAGCCGTAGTTAGCTTTCCAATTTCTTCTTTACCCGCCTCCTTGACCAAGTGACCGTCGAAAGCGACTTCCAAGTTGTCCGTCGTAGTAAATCCGGGCTGGAATGTCTCCCAGACCTTCTTCTTGGGGTTGAGAACGCCCTCGGGCTCGCCCCTCCATCCGTCAAAGCACACGCGCTCACCGGTCTTCGCATCGGGAGGCGGAGTAACTAGCTCGACGGGTCCCTTGTGGTCATCCACCTCGCCCTCCTTCAACTTCGGTGACGCGGCTAGGACCATGGCGCATGACTTAATTCCCCGCATTTTGACGGGCTTCAGGTTGGCGACTACGACAACCTTGCGGTTTTGCATCTCTTCTAGAGGAATCAAACCGTTCAAGCCAGAGCAGACAGTCCGGCATACCTGGCCTTCGTACTCGGTAGTATCTTCGGTGCCGGGCTTGTCGCCCATGGCAATCGTAGAAACAAACAGACTATCGGCTTCCGGGTGCTTGATAGCCTTCAGGATGTGGCCCACTCGGAGGTCGATTAGATGGGGCGACGGGGGCGTAGTAACGGCCGGAGCCTTTTGGGGTTTGGGGGCCTTCTCCTTCTTCTCTTTCTTAGGCTTCTCGGTGACAACGCCCACTGCGGCTGCGGCCTTGCTACCCGCTTCAACGGCTGCATCCTTAACAGCCTCGGCCGCTGCCTTCGTTCGGTCAACTAACGTCGCAGTAACCCCGCTATCACCGCCGGTAGTGGCGGCAGCAGCAGCAGCCTTCTCCTTCTTTAAGCGCTCCTTCTCAGCCTTCGCGTCGACGGGCGGCTTGACGTAAAGGACCTCGTCAAGGTCAACCTTGATCTTGTCCGCGTCGTTCACGTTTAGACCAAAGACGCCAGAGTTCTGGACAAAGTCGAGGTGACGGAGGATATGAGGGTGACCTTGTTCGCCGGTTCGCTGCTCAGGGGTCCACGACTTAACGGTAGGAGCCAGGGACTCGTAGATGGCGACATCAGCCTTTGAGGGCTTGGTGCCGAGAAGGGTGGTTCGAGAAGTCAGGTGAGAGTTGAGCTTCTCGAGAATTGATATGTCTGATGGCGAGCTCTTCAGCCGCTCCGAAGTGGTGATCCATTGTTGAACCTCAGTCTCCTCGGTAGGAGTGAGCTTCTGGGAATCAAGGGCGGCCATGGTGAAGGTTCGGAAAGAGATGCCTCGTGAAAGAGGACGAATAGCGCGAAGCAGTGACAGCTTGATGGTTTGATGGTTTGATGGCTTGATGGCTTTTTACCCAGCTGCGACTCAGACAGGGTCGCAGAGAAATATGGTGTTGAGAAGTAGGAGTTTGGCGTCAAGTAATAATAGAGGGGTTCAACATGAATTTTTTGAAGCTTTCAAGTTTAAGTGCCCCTCCATCGAATTGACAATTGACTCATTTAACCTAGGATTTAGGTTATTTGATAAGGCGGGGTGATAATTGATCACGTAAGATTATTGTTAATTGAATTATAAGTATTTAGTTAGGATTAATTGCATTCAAAGTTGGAAAGCCGGAACTAAATCGGGCCGGGGTCCACCTAACGCTTCCAGTTCCAGGGATGTAACAACGGGCTGCGCGGCTGCAACCCCAAAGCCCCAAAGCTCTCCAAAGCTTGTAGAAAACGCAGCCTACTAATAAACGTCAATCGCGACTTTCCTTAACATTCATTAGCTCTCCCCTTGAGCTGTGTCGACAACCTCCATCCAAAATTACCCCGGAATTACTAAACAATTACTCGTACCCGTACCCGAATTCTACAAATATGGGCGCTCTAACATACGGCGCTGGAGGTCTCACCTCTTTCATAACAGTTGTTGGATTGTGTATGTGAAACATTCGCGCCGAAGAGCGTGTGTAAGATGAAGATTGGCATTGACATTGAGAGGCTGACTGTTTGTAGACATGCTCTTTACCGGCAGCGGTGAATCCTTTAATGTTCGTCTCGGTAACACGCAATGAATAATTACACCATATCCTAATTACATGTCTCTTCTAGGTCGGAGCTTTCCTCGAAACGGTATCGCCGTACGTATGGGCGGATCTAGGTATTGCGCTTTGCATTGGTCTATCAGTCGTCGGCGCAGCATGGTATGGCACACCCCCAGCTCAAGCTATCATCCCAATCGAACGTATCACGGTTGACAAGTGCTCAGGGGTATCTTTATCACGGGTTCTTCCATCCTCGGTGGTGGTGTTAAGGCCCCTCGAATCCGAACCAAGAACTTGATCTCCATCATCTTCTGCGAAGTTGTTGCCATCTACGGCGTCATCATGGCCATCGTTTTCTCCTCCAAGGTCAACTACGCGAGCCCCGACGAGGTGTTCGACCCCAACAGTTACTATACCGGTTTCGCCTTGTTCTGGGCTGGAGTGACGGTAGGAGGATGTAACCTGGTTTGCGGTGTTGCCGTTGGCATCAACGGCAGTGGAGCTGCTCTAGCAGATGCAGCGGATCCTTCTCTGTATGCCTCAGCTCTATTCCCCTCGATCATACAGGAATGCTAACGAGAGCTGTCAGTTTCGTCAAGATTCTCGTCATCGAAATCTTCAGTTCCGTCCTAGGTCTCTTCGGTTTGATCGTCGGTCTCCTCGTATCCAGCAAGGCAAACGACTTCGGCGAGATCTAATCTTGATTATGTATTGATGGAATACAGTGTAAGAAGAGATGCATTCACAATCGATCAAGGATTGTTGGCGTTCGGAAAGACGGGTTCAAATTGGGGAAAGTCACGGGTTTGTCCATTTGTGAACTATTGTATGTACTATTATGACAACCGAGAGTGATCACAGTTCATCAGGGGCTGCTGGAATAGACCCCACACAAAAATCTATAAGAGGCCAGAGCCTCGAGTAGACCGAACCGGTACCTGCCACTTGCCAAACCATCTCATGTTATGCTGGAGTGAGATCAATAAGGCTACCGGTTCGCTAGAACTACAATAATCTAGAGAGAAGTACTATATATCAGATATTGGGACACATCCAGTATTCATACAGAGTGTATTCCTTTAGGGCTTTACGACGCACATAACGTCTAAGATGCGAAGCAATACTCCCAAGTATCTAACCTAGGTACTCAGTATCATATATGCATAATTGAACGTATTCCTAGCAAAGGTAGATGAGAGATACAAGGAGTTGTAACTCATAGCTTATGAGTCAATATTCCAAGTAGGCTAAATAGCAAGCTTAGGCGATCGCCACTCAAGCAGTCCGTCCATGTGACACTCTGACCTCATTTGAAGTAGGCTATGTGTGATTGAAGGAGCAAGAAACACATAGGTAGGTTAAGAGAAGAGTCATAAATCCGTGGCGTAAATTTAATCCCTAGCTAGCCGAACTACTCGGGTTTATAAATGTATCAAATTTTCATTTCAGGAGATAATGGCAATCGTCAAAATGGCCTATGCTTCTATATTCGTGCTAGATGTGTCGTTGTGTCGACTAAAGAGATAGATGGTGCCTAAGGCTAAGATCTATTGAAAATATAAAACGAGGATTGTTCAGGTATATCATTACTTCTAAAGTGAGACCAATTCAAGTCCACTCGTCCCTTTGTTTAAGCAGGTGCTATGTCCAAGACATATCATCATAGGGTAGAAGCGAATTTCCCACGTACGAATAATTATAATCATCCATCAGCGGTAGTTCGCTAACGTCCATGGTGAATATTGGACGGTATGTTATAATTCAGACGCTCCGAAATGCCTCAGCGAGCGGAGAGGTTTCAGTAATGCGCCTCTGTTCGGCCTCTGTAAATTCTTGCGGGCGGTTTCGTTGGGTAAGGGCTTTGTCCCTAAACACAAATAGGCCTCTATGGCGCTCGAATATCTCGTCCATATCTTCGAGTGTTCGAAGGGAGGTTTCTGGATAGAAGAGGAATACAATAGGTAGGTATGACCAGCAGAATACCGCAAAGACTATTTAGTGCACAAGGTTAGACTCTGACATAGTACTCGATAGACGAGCCCTTACGAAGGTAGAACCTCCATCCAAGGTTATCCACACCCGCCTTTGTGAACTGTACTATGGCGAAACCGCTTAACCAATTCGTTGCGGTGGCGGCGGCAGCTCCCCTTGTCCGCCACCCGAGGCTATTGATTTCAGAATTATAAACCCAGGGGACCTTGGCAAAACTGGTACCGTAGCAGAAATAATAAAGAAAGAACATAGCCACCGTTACTTTGCCAAGATCAGACTTGTTTTCCGGATGAATAGCAGCCTCTCTCAGTGTCATGGAGGCAACGAAATAGCAAGATCCGGTCGTAATTGAACCGTACATCATAAGTCTATGGAACCATAAGCATTACTGCTTGCCGGTAAGGCAGAGAGATGTGGAGTATGGGTCTTACTTGCGTCTTCCGATCAGGTCGACTAGAACCAGACACAGAAAAGCCGCACCCAAGTATAGGCTGGCATTTGCTCCGGCCAATAACCTCGCATATGAACTAGAAACCCCTACCGACTCAATTAAGAGAGTAGGAAGGTAGTAGCCCAAGGCATTAACGCCGCTGAACTGTTGCATTAGCTGCGTCCCGCAGCTTTAAAGGGTCAGCATCGTGGCGGATTAGCCCGGTGTGCTTGTAAGGCGACTTGCCTTAGCACTAAACGGCGAACATTCTGTAGTGGATCTCGGCCGAGTACAACATCCACCATAGGCACACGAGCCTCGCGTTCTTTCTCAAGGGCATTCTGAATAGAACTAAGGTCGTCCTTCAAATTCTTATCATCGAGGTTATGTAATAATCCTCGGAGCTGAGCGAGAGCTACTCGAGCCTCCTCGAATCTTCCTCGTAGCAATAGCCATCGCGGTGACTCAACGGTAAGCGGTAGAAATGTTACTACAACGGCTGGGTATACGAGCTGGAAAGCCAAGGGGAACCGCCATTGGAATGCCCCACTGCTATCAAATAAAACGTAACTCATCCAGTTTGCTACGCAGAATCCCGCCGTAATGCACAACGAACCTACCACCACAAGTTTACCCCTAATGTTGGTAGGTGATGCCTCCGCAACGAATACAGGGCAAGTTGAGGAGGTGATCCCCACTGAACTAAGGGGTTAGCATATACGGAACGACAAGTGACTAGACGGAACCGTATGTAACGGGCTAGAATTTTAAGCAGATTCTCGATCAAATGGACGAGCCAAGAGTGGAGAGCTCTCAAGTCTCCAGGGGTCAACCTACTGCCAAACCCATTGATGATACGGCCAACGATCATCTGCGGCAAATGGTAAGCTGCAATCTGCAGAACTACTCCAATAACGTTGACCACGAGCCCGACATAGACGGACTTCTTCCTTCCCAGCCTATCACCAAGTAGGAATGATGCGAGGCAGCCGAAGAAAGCACCGAGCTCATGCAATGGTCAGCATCCGTGATTAGCATTGTCAAACATCACGACCCACAGAGAAACAACTAGACGTAATACCCGAGATAGCTGGATCCTTGGTTTCTGGAAAGGTCTCGATAAAATCTGCCGATATGAGGGCGCCAGCAAATATCCCCTGAGTTGGCTATGAGCTAATCATCAATACGGGGAACACGGGTAGTAACAACCTGGTCGTAACCAAAGTGTGCCATTGAGACTGCCATATGTTACTCGATATATCAGCAACATAGCGGTGAACAGTATATACCAGAGTTGGCTAATGTCAAGCAGGTGAGCTGCCACTTTCCGCTTGGTGAAGTCCAGTAAGCCATATTATTGGATGGCGGATATGAGGGTCGATGTAAGACTGGCCAAGACGATACCCGAGAACTAGATAGAAAGGAGGCACTGTTAGTAGCAATGCCGATAGAGTGAAGTAGTCACTGTATTTTAGTTGGTAATATACCACAAGATCGCCCTTTTCACTATGCTTTGAACCAGTTGTCGATAGGATCCTGACTCTAAGTGTTTCTAAAAGGCTCGTTAGTGATCACTTTATATAGACATCTTGGAAATCCAGAAACGCCTTGTTCATCTAGCTACTAGCTAGTGTCGTCGACTCTCAGCAGACTTGGGGAATGTGTTCCGGTATTCCGCGCCTTGGTGGTTCAATGGGATCGGGGACACATTCAGCCATCCCGTAAAAAAGTCCCATGTTTATACCCAATCTTAATGATGAACCTGGCACTGGGCGGCTGTTCCGACAGTGACGCAAGTATATTTTCACCAGGTTCAACCCAATGGCTCTTCTTCAGTCACCCCAAGTATACCCACTGCAACGTGCCCACCGTATTGACACTCTATCGCTTAGATTCAGGGGTTCCTCCCGAGCGAGACTAGGTAAGATCTTAGTAGCCGTAACCGATTGTATTGAGAAACAATATCATTACCGAAGCCGGTGTATTGGACATCGATAAGCCACCCACAGGAATGAGTAAGTTGTATCATTTAGTTTCGTTGGGTATTCCCAAAATAGCCCGGACAATGAAACTCGGTAACGCCGGTCAAACATAGGCGGCTAAGCTTCTAACCGGAGCATACGGGGATACGGAATCGAAATAGTATAAAGTCAACGAATATGATGTAATCATACGAGGTTCAATTTGCCCGCATAATTCAAATATTCTCGTTAATTTCTAATGTCTAGCTCCAGGCGCCAAAGGCGACAGCATGCATTGTAGGTAGTTCTTCAGGGAAATTCTCCAGGAAAGTCCAGCTAGATGAAATAGAGATAAAAACTTACCAGGTGAGTACGTATATAGTTCCATATATTTCGAAGCAGGAGAAAACACTAAAAAGGTTATGGGAAAGGATGTGAATGGTAGTTGGAATAGTTAGTTAAAATAAGAGCAGGATTCCGTTAAAAGCTGAGCAGTCGGTCTTCCGGCATCGTCGGCTATTAAAATAGAGGAGTCAGTTATTCCGACGTCCCCAAGGTAGATAATCGGCTGAATAGAAATATGGCGTCCCGAATCGCGGCGTTAGCGATGCCGAATGACACCGGATCTACGGCGATTGGAATTCCAAATAGGTATCGTAGGAAACAGTTCGGAAGGATTAGCTTTGTAAAAAATAAAAAATAAATGGACCAGGTTCGGTGTTTGTGACCAGGTACCCAGTTATCGGTAGCGTAGCCGCATCCCACAGGTAACGTCCACAGGCTAGATACATACTACCTGCCTAACCTACCCTATGTACAGGAACAAAATGCAGGCGTAACATGATATATTAGCTAATCCAGCTGACATATCATTTATCATTTACCCAGGTATTACCTGATCCTGAATCTTTCTTCCTTCCCGAACTTTCGAGCCTTTTTTCTTCTTCTTAGCATCCTACCTATTCTTTACGTGCACCTACAATAGATAACCACTGACGTATAGGGTATATCTAATAGGTAATCATTTGCGATCTATGTATTTTATCCTGCATGTAGACACATGATTGCTGATTACGAACGTACAAATTCGGCTACCTTCACATCCGTTTTCATCCACACAGCATCTATCATTACGTTTTACCATACCTTCACATAATTCTAATGGAGTGTCGTCGCGTACCCGAGGGTACGGGGTATGTATGTCAGAATATGACGAACCAATAGACATGAATATTGCAGCCCACCCCAGCTAGGAATACTATAAACGAGCACTAGGAAATCCGTTACCATACGCAGGCCAAGGTTGTGTTCAACATCAAACGCTCAACCCGATCCACCTACCGAAGGCCGTCCGGTATTTTAGTCCAAGTCCCGACATTAAAAACTTGCAAGGTAGGTCAGGCATAGGCCGGAGATGCGTCGTCGATAGATCACTTGATCCATTTAATATTTGCGGACTCGGAGTAACCTGCGTTTTATGCTTAGGATGTCTTGAAAATGCTTTCTCCAGCCAGTAACAATATTTTTTATTTATTTTTTACTTAGAACCCCCCGCGTGTACGATGCGCGCCCCGCTGTTAGCCGTTCTCAGTGCTGGGCTCAAATACGCTAACATAACGGTCAAGCTCAAATAAGTCTTTAACATCAATGTAACTAGGTCTTTAGTACTTCTGTGTACAACAATACAAAGCACAGCCACGCTTATACTTACCTGCTTGTAGGTACTGTATTATCCTCAAACCCTAAGAATCAACACAAGGGGTAACTTTTCGCCCTATTCAGCCCTACCTCGATGCTTAATAAAAAAATGTCTTATAACATATAGCATTGCAGTATTTATAATACTCTTAACCAGCCTTAATGACATATGGCTCAAGTAAGCTTGCCAGCTCTTGTTTAAGTATGAGTCTTCTCGTAACCACCAATTTCCTTTTTAGGACGTCGGTGGTGTTAACCTGCAGTTAAGACCATTCTCACTTCTATTATTACGACCTGGTAGTAGCTAGTCAACTTTGGAAGACGAAGGTGAGGCGTAGGTATAGTGGATAGGGATTCAACGTTCCATTTGCCCCATAAGGGGGGGCCTTGACCACTTTCGATAACATACGGCCCTTCTCAAGTAGTTATTATGCAAGTCTCTACCTACGTGACTGCTATAATACGTCTGCTACGCCTGCGGAAGTGACTGGTATGGCTTGAGGTATCGTGCTTCCAACATCTGGGCGATATCTGGGTATAGAAACTTCTTGTTGGCCAAGATCAGCGACTAGACATCAGCATCAGCATAATTGGTCTAGCGTTCGCCTGCGTGGCGGTCAGAGAAACTCGTTGCTGCTTAGTTATGAGAGAAGTCGACGAGTGACAGTGTGACATTAGCTACCCAATATCCAGTCTTCACCCCCGGCAAGGCCCAAGGGTTTTATACTACGTTCCCAGTTATTGGGTCGACTATAACAGAGGTCAGCCTCTTCAGACAGGGTATTTGAACGGAAGCAGCCGCCCTTACGCGCTCAACTTGTTGGTCCTTATTATCTTGATTAATGATTACCCTCGCCTGGACGATAAGAGTTAATCCAGGGGGTATCTCCATCTTAGCCAGTTCCTCGGATTTGCCACATGAATTATACAAGGAAGCGTATGCTACCCATTCATTCCCCGATATATCGTTAACCTAGGCTATTAACTTACCGAGAACCAGGTGCACTCCTTGCTTGCGATTTCTGCAGGTACTTACTCCCTCCGGCTATTCAAATCCCTTTCGACCTAACATAGAGCAGGCATCGTAAGCGGAGGTGCGATGGGAAGAAACCATGTTCTACCTGCAGGGATTCAAATGCCGATTGTGTATACAAGGAGCTACCATTCGATAGGTACTCTCTCCAACATTCCCCCAGCTCAAGGCGACGCTCATGCTAACCCTAAATCTTAGAGTGGAAGATTCGAGTCCAAACGCAGTCATCGATCGACTTGCCCGAATAGAATCGCTACTCGAACACCAAAGCCAGCAGATTAACCAGCTCAGTACTCGTTCTAGCCCCCTTTCGTACCCTCCGAGCCAGGCCGATCTTTTTGCCGCGTACCAACAGCACTCAGACTACTTGCCTTCCACATCTGCTGGAATAGACCCCCAGTTGGATTCGCCGCAATTTTTAATCCCAAAGGGTCATGCTACTCTGACAACCACGCTCCTTTCGCTGCCCCAGGTGCGTGATCTACTCGGAGACTACCCAAGAGAATATTTCTTTGAAATCGAAGAGAAGTTCCCCTTACCAGGACTACTTGGGAGTCTCTATGATAGTCCATTAGCCTGGCCGTCTCTTGACCTCGATGGCCTTAATGCGTTAGCCGAAAACTACTTCCGAAATGTTCACCCCCACCATCCGTTATTCACGCCGAATATGTTCAAATCATGGCAGGATCAGCTTATTCAGGACAGGGATATGGAAGATATTGGCACTCCGATATGCTTTTGTGTCTACGCTTTGGGTACGATAAGTTCAGATCGAGAGGGTAACTTTGAGGATGATGAAGCGCTAGGTCTTCGGTTTTTTCAACCGGCATTGAGAATAATGCTACATAAGTTGGTTTGGGATTTTCGACCAGGTATAGGGCTCTGCCAGGCTTTGCTACTCGCAGCTTCGTATTTTGCTCACTTAGGAAGACCTCTTCACAGCTGGAGAATGGCGCAGTTCGCATCACGAATATTTCTAAATCTTGTTGAGAAGTAACAAATACCCCTTTAATGGCCATGACAGTCTGGGCTAACTTACGGAAGTCGGAAACATAATTTGTCGAGTGCCGTCTTCGAAGAAGCGGAATTAAGAACATTTTGGCAGTGTTTTACAGTTGAATGGTAGGAAAGACATAAGTCGCGATTCTACTCTTTATTTTATACTTACTTCTGTTATCCAGTGACCGAATCGCCGAGCTTGACGTTCCTCGAAGCGGGATAGAGCCCCTGGGGGACCGGATGCGGCTCCCACATAATACGGACCCCTCCGATAACGAGAATATTATTTATTTCATCGCCGAGCATGCCATTCGTCGGCTCCTGAACCGTATACATAACTCGCTTTACGGACCCGAACTCGCAGAAACTAGTTTCACGGGCCCAAATCAAGCATGGCAGAGTCTAGGTCTTCAGAAACTTTTAGCTCTTAGTACTGAGCTTAACAGACAATTAGAGGAATGGTACATCTCTATACCGGACTACCTAAGACCTCTGAAAGGGACTCTTCCACTACCAAATGATCGTGCCCGAGTTCTCAGGCTTCGGTACTACGCTGCGAGACACATAATTTACCAGCCGTTCTTACTTCAGATGGTCTGCCGACAGCAGGAAGTCCAATCTCCGGCGGGATCTTCTGCTCTAAGTCCTGATCCATACAGCGAGTCGCCTGTCTTCTTGGAAAAGTGCGAGGCCTGTATCGATTCTTGCGTTACCTATCTTTACAATGCGGTGGATATGATTGACAAGCGTTCTCCATACCTATGGACCATTTCACAGAGTTGCTTGGCATGCTTAATTATGGTATGGTTGGCAGATAATTCACCCGCTTTGCATACTTATGTCCCCCATATGCAACCAATCCAGGACATGGTACTTACGAAAATACGTAAATGGGCCCCTGACGATTCTAGCCTTGCTGCCGAAGCACAGATTATAGAACAGCTCATTTTTTCCAATTCGATGGAAGCTTGAGGAGGTTCTCTGGTATATTTTTTTTTTATAATTCTCATGGCTTCCTTATAGCGCACGAGACTTAGGTGGCTATTATAGAGAAATTTAGAAGGCATCTTGAGGATTAGAAGCTAAATTCAACAAGACATTAAATCCCGACCTTAAAAAGGGGCTTAGCAGGGGGCGTGGTGGAAAAGTCTCAACATGATACTGATGAGCTAGACTCGGCAATGAGGTTGGAAAATAGATGAAAATAGAATCTAAACTACATGAATGTACCTAAGATAGACGAATTGAATCTCCTTCCTTCTCATTGGATCCCGTAACTATACCAAGGTGTGGTTGCCGATGCATCAGTAACGCATAAAACGCATGTACATCTACCCACCCGCTTTCCTTAAACATAATACATAGGTAATGTACCTACCTAATTTAATGCATGCATGGAAGCCAGCAAGAATATTCTCCCTTGGGGTAGCCTTACCTTGGCTGATTTGGTAATACTGCCTTGTACCTAGCTGGCCAGTAGGTTAATTGTCAGCACGACACATAAAAACCCCCAAAACTCCTATTGATCAAGATGACATCATATGCTCCCGCTCACCCGATAGGTCCCTATACCATAGCCCTGGGACCGCGCTAAAGATCTGCTTGCATTAGGTACCTAAGGTGTAATTACCTCAGCTGCGGCAGGGGCCAGCATTACTCCCGAGCCCATTCCGACCCCGAAAGAGAAAATGGACATTATAAATTCAGAATGGACGGAAGCATTCGGGATCAGCCGCGACATGTCCAAGACTACGGTGCGATTTCGCAACGAATGTAGTATTTGATTGTAAACCGATTTATTCCACTTCTACATACGTAAACAACGTTCATAGTTACTTCTACCTAGATAGATCCGGACCCCGAAACACGGGAGCAATCCGATATCGCGACGACCCCCGGGCTTATGACTTGCTGTTGACGCGCCAACGCGAGCTATCCGACGACGCATGATCGATCCCACCGGCGTCTGGACCCGGCTACTCGGAGTTCCCGGGTCGAAACACCAAGAACCCAAGTTCGAGATGTCTAATTTTAAATATCTCTTTCGTTCCTGTACATTCCAGCCTGCGCCGAATGTAACTTGAAGATGAGACACGGGAACACTTGGCTGCATTTCCGTCTTCACCGCCTGATGGGAGTCATTCTTTCTTGTTCTTGTACACGATACTCGAAGAATACCTCGGCTCGTAGGCAGCAACGGGAACGACGGCCTTGACGATATGCTGACGACTCTACCGTCTCACCCACGCGGCAGGTAGAGAGGCAGGACCCTGTTCCCATGCGTCTGACCCTACCATCTCAGCCCTAAACTGAAAGGCTCTTGCCACATTTCGCTGACTGCATCTATTAGCAAGCATTGCTTAGCATCTTACCCTCCACTGGAAATGTTGGGACAGGTGCATGCAATCACTTAATATCGAGTTCGGCCTCATATGCAGGTGTGCGACGGCAAGAAGTCGCCACTGAACTTTCGAGGCCATCAGCCTGGTTTACCTCATTGAGTATGTCTTGCCGTATAGCCAGTGTCCTCGAAGGGTGAACAATCTCTTACGAAATATCACAATATCAACTAGATAAACACGGGCGTGGAGATATCACGCCAGCTACTAATATTATCAATACTAGGCGAGGATGGAAGATCCGCAATGTATCATTACACCAATCCATATCCGATGCAGCCTCACGAACTAACTAACGGGATATAATCCCCCCCAAATAATTCACCTATTAGAGTTGCAACGCCAGTCGTGGTTATCATACACGCCGTCCGCTAACTCATCGCCTTTTTAACTGGGATTTGGAGATATCGATAAAGGAAATAGCTAGGTCCGTCTGTTATCGACATGGTAGATCTGCTTGCCGAGTTGTCAAACTGAGCTTCCCTTCGTCCTGATCAACTGCGTTGGACGGCTAGATGACTAGAGCCGCAATGGCTATGGCGAGCGCGGCAGTCGAAAGGTCCCCGATTCCCGTAGCCGTTGATTTACCATCCGCCAACGTCTCGCCGGCCCCGTTCGGCATGATGGCATTGACGCACCTAGGCATGTGCTCGTGTGCTGTGTGATGGGACGTATGCCTATGAATCGATTTCCTGGCATGCATGTTCCCAATATTTTTGTTGGGTGGTTCTGTAAGATGTTAGCAGATGGAATACTTGGACAAGTCTCGGAAATCAGGTATCCAGCATCGGAAGAGAGCCGTGACTTACCACGAGGCCCCGATGACGAGCTATCGTCGCTGGCCGGGACGGACCCATCGAGGATTCGCAAGCTAGTTACGGAATCTTGATCCTGGAGAGGCAATGCTGCTACCTTGCAGATAGCAAAGGCAAGAGCGAATATTGGAAGCCGCATGATGTCTCAAAGGAAACCTAAGTGGATTCGAGTCTAAGTTGTGTCCCCGACGATGGGAGGATATGAGGTTCTATGCGAAAGTGTTGTAGGATCGTAAATGGGCGCGAGTCGACAGCATTGAACACTTTTTCGAAGAGCCACCCGAACTCCTAATGGACTATATGATCAGACGGTCATAGATCATAGGCCTAAGTAAGGGCTAGACGAACACGCATGGAAATAAACTTCAGCTAGCGACACACGATTCGCTCTTTGATCGTATCCGTGCTCACGAGTTTCTATATAGGTTAGGTAGGTATCTAGGTATGCTTCGAATACTCGTTTAGGTACTCTAATAACTTTGAAAGCCGCCACTGGGCTACGTTGCGTAATTACATGACATAGTGATAACACTACGTTCGACCCTTTTACAAACGATCAGTTGCTTGATACGATACTATTCCAGAGAGGATCGGTTTTATAGCAATTGGATTGACATGTAGTGACCTGTTTAAAGTTGAATGCCTCGAGTCTGATAAAACTCTAGCGTTATTCTATAGAAAAAGTATAAAGCATATAGATGGTTGGCGTGCTGTATAAAGGCATCGTTGCATCGAGAATAAAGAGCCCTTCCTAAGCCACCACAAACCCTATTGATTTAGTCTCTACTACAGTCGCAGAAACTCCACGCCATGGTTGTTACGAAGCTATCTAGATAGAATAGCATGGTCTTTTGATGCTAGTAGACTCTCAAATAGAAGACACTCGACCTCGGCTTATAAGACGAAGAAACCATATATGGTATCCATCACTACGTCCGCACGATGCAAGAAAACGAGAACATTAAACGCCGGAGCTCCAGACGACTTAGATAGACTTATAGTGACTTAAGATTAAATAGGTGAGAACTGGTATAAATGCCCTAACCATCAGCATTAAGCATGCATCTGCTACCTTTCTTCCACGCTTAAAAGAGGTCCGAGTGAACCTTTGGCCGGATATGTCGGCGTTTCACGGCGTAGCAAGACGACGGTGACACAGAAGGCGGTTACGTTGCCGAAACGCTATGTACTTGGAAAGAGGTCACATATGCCGCTATGGCCTTATTATTGTTACACCGGCGCAAACGTGAATCGCTCCCTGCATAACTAGTAACAGGTAGATACTTCATGTTGTTAATTCAGATACATTTATACTTTCATGTGCGCACACGTAGAAGGCGAAAATGAGGCTTGTCAATTACATAAGTATATTGCATAGTGAGCGGCGAGGTTACCAACACATGCAATGCAGTAAATCATATTGGAGAGAGGAATTGAATAGTCAAATAGAGTTGGCGTGCATGGATCCAAGATGAAACAAGCGACAGGGACTAAGTTACTTGTAGCCAGCCAATTGGATTTGGAGTCTGTTTCAAAATTGGAATTTGTTCCTGACGATCTCCTTAGGTAATCTTCGATTTATCTTATTGAGGTAAGGCGTATCTGGGCTTAGCGCCTCTCCTTAACACCTTCCCCCTGCTTCAAGTTTTCATTCCCCCACTCCCGATTTCTGCCTCTTTTTACATCCCTCCCTCCTTCCTGAGGGGAACTCTGGAATCTGTTCATCCACTTAATCTGCTGCAATGCTAAGCCCGGATGGAGAAGCTTGGCTGCCTTCACTTCAGTCAAGCCACTTTACGGCTACTGGCTACCGCTTATTCGTCTATTATTAGCTATTAGCCTAGACATCTGAGATGCGTCCCGAGCTAACTAACTACCTGGTATCGGACGCGCTTATTCGGAGATTTTTTGATCCTATAGTCACGTATAAACCAATTAACTGCATATCAGGACCGCATAGTGGTTCTACCTATGCGGTTAGCGTTTTTTTAGATCTAGTAGTGGGTTAGATGTTATGGGCCAAGTATTCTACCAAGTCGAAAAGGAGGATATGAGAGGAGTAAGCTAAATATTGTAAACTGTTGGCAAATATGATCTGTATGGTCCATTCAAAGCAACCCTGCCACGATCATTTATGCGCCCGCGCCTAATCACGCATTTGTAATACCTGGCAAGCCTGGCAAGCCTGGCAGGGCCAACTTACATATTACGCCACGGATCGACTTTTGGGCAGGTGCCTACCTGGGTAGGTATCCTCTCTATTGGGATCGCGCCTAGATGGTACCTATGCAGCTAGTGGCAGGTACCGATTTAAATAATCAAGGATGATCGCCCTGATATTTTACCACGATGATACAGGAGGGCACCACACCGAGAATTCTCTTTCCCCATTATATCTACTGTCGATCTTTGTTACTTCCCCGTCGCTTCCTTTTCGGGTATTCTTTCTTTCATTTTCCGACTTCCATTCTAACAGCCCGGGCCTGCTTGCTTGCTTGATATTTTTTTTTTATCAAACATTCTTTCTTTCGTTCTAACTATCATTCATTCGTTATAGCTTTGACTAGCATACATTCACTTATTCTATCTTAACCCGAGTCCATCTTTTAGCACCGGAAAAAGCAGCTTTATATTTATACCTTCTTGCTTCATACAACCTAACAAACCTAAGATCTTCAGTATCGTTTTACAGAAAAGAAATCACCATGTTATTCAGCACGATATCTTTGCTTGCTATTGTAGCCCTTGCTGGCCAGGCTATTGCCGAGCCTATACGTCAACCGTATAAGCCAAAGCTCGCCCATATGTCGCCCAGAGCTATATTTGGTCTCGATCGTCGTGCGGATGGTGGATATGCGCCCGCGCAGCAGTTTTGTGAGGATGGCAATACCTGTGCTGAAGCGTGCGGTAAAGGCTTTGAGCAATGCGCTTCTAAGGACAATGTTGTACACTGCTTCAATCAAACTGCCCAGCAGACTTGCTGCCCTGGAAAAACTGGAGGTAGGATCTCATAGTAGATCGGCATATATGAGACTAAGCTGACCATCGTATAGAATCTTGCGACAAAGGTTTCTTCTGCACAGCAGACGATAAAGGCGCTACTTGGTGCTGTCCCGATAATATGACACTGGAGCAGTGCGCAGACGCCTATAACCTTCCTGGTTCCCTTGTGACGCAGACTAGTCCATCTACCACTAAACCTAAGTCGTCGCCCACGTCTACGACCCTTGCTTCCACTACTACTGCTAAGAGTGTTAGTACATCAGCTAAGGCCGCTGCAAATACTACAAGTACTAGAATTACCACAAGCCCTAACACGACCACGTCTCAGGCTAGCGAGTCCTCTACTTCGGTCGCCCCTGCGAGCACCGCCCCTGCGAGCATCACCCCTGCCCCCGAAACTACGGCTGCGCCGGCCACACCTTCGCCCACACCTTCGTCCACAATCCCTGCGAATGGTATCGCTACAGCTGGAAGTGACAGTAATTACGGCTCCATAAACAGCATAATGCTTCTTGCTGTGGCCGCATTTGCTGTTCTCCTCTAAATCAGTCCGCGACGAGACGAGGAAAATGTATATTGGCAAGAGTGGACTATATGACGGGACGAGCCATGATCATCGAAATCTTTCTTTGCACCGACCTAGGGATTTAATTGGCTGGATCGCCTTACTTTTTATTCCGCTTCACTATCGATACCCTTTGGCACCCATAGAATGTCGTCCGGACCGTCAAGGTGGACTAGCATAGGTTTTGGTGCGTTGAGCTGTTGGGGTTCTAGGAGTTGTTTGTTTTTACACCTACGCTGCTCGCGTATAATTAGAGCTCGAGAACGGCATGTGCATAGATGGCATCCGTCTCTAGAGACGGGTGGTCTGCTGGGTTAACGGAATTGATGGATTGCCTCGATGGTACCCCTATAGAGATACCCTGACTTACCTATTACTACCTATACATATCTAGGATAGCATTCTTTTCTTGAAAAAAGAACTTACGAAAATATTAATACCGTTTCGATTCGCATATCCAATTGTCTTTTAAGATTGCAGTGGTATGGGTTGTGACATAAAGCAAGCACAACCACCTAACCTAAGATAGTTGTGCATAGCAAAAATAGTAAAAGGGTTATCGTATCAAAAAGTGTAAACAGCTTACTTTGTCTTCCCTAAGTTATTACGATAAAGTTGAAATTAGATACCTACAAGGACATAGGTAAAGACTATTGACTTAGTATACATGAATAAATCATTATTTATTTATAGGTAAGAGAAAGCCATAAAAAGAATTAATAAAAAAGGAATAAAAATATTACCCCCAGTCCACCAACCCTACACTGTGAATGCCCACCTCCTCCCATTCCCCATCCCATCGCCAACCCCCAGAGCCCTCCAATCCACAATTACCTTTCAGCCGTAAAAGGTGCAGCCGTGAATGTTGTGTCTCAACAGTGTAGTGTAGTCCCCCGGTACCCACAATCCCCCAGTTCCCCACCACGCAAATCCCCGGACCCCACCGTGCCGCCCCCGGCACTCGAACCCGGCGCAGCTGCGGGTCGAGTGTTTCCATGTGCCTGCCTTTCAAATACGCCATGTGCCTTGTGTCAGCCGCGGGGCGGCGAGGGGAAGACTTGTTGTTGGACATGATAAGTTTTTCGTCGTCGGCCGGCGGTTTGTTGCTGGGTACCTGTACCTGCCTCTGGGACTTCGGTACCGGTTGGTGGTTGGAGCGTGACAGTTGGCAACGGGGGTTTCGATGGGCTTACCTGCCTAGTACCTGTATGTATGTACCTAATATTAGGCTTGCTATATGTTTATTACTCTCGTCATAATAATCTACTAACAAGGAGCCGTATCCAAGGCCGCCTCGATACTTTTCTTCACAGATACAGTCAAATTTATATGACAAAGAATAAAATAAAAGTTGCGGCTCTTACAGGAAACTCGACCACAGGATTATGAGAACTATAAATATGTGATCAAAACGTGACCTGTTAACCAAGCCATCCCAGTAGGTGATGCTATATAACTTGGTTGCGTACAGTAATTCAGTATGTACAGAGAACTCTATCAGAGAACGGTATTACACCTAATCATGGAACCGAATCATGTTTGGGCGATTTGTGAATAGGCCAAATGTCTAGATCCCACCGTCATCCATGTCGTCAGCATCTTCCCCGTCCTGTACCGGGAGAATCCCATCCGTAGGCTCGCCCTCCACAGCCTTGCCGCTCTCATACGTGATACGTCGCCAGCCGCAAGGTTCCGAGCCGTCTTTTATCCACTCCATCGTCGGGAAGTAATGTTCGTTCTTTTTCATCGTGATAATCCATGGTTGGTTATCAAAAGTCATAGCCTTCAATCGGAAATCTAAGAGCATGTTAGCTAATTTTATGTGACTAGGTATGTCGAAAGAGGGAGAGAGTCCTTACAAGTATTATCCGGGATCTTAACTACATTCTCTAGGAAAGTCTTGAGATCCGGTGTTGGCTTGCCGTTGACATGCGTGATGAAGTTGGTCGGTGCAAGTCCGTATTGATACGCAGGTGAACCTCTACTCCGAGCAGACACGTATACCTCACTGGCGAGCTTACTTATTTGCTGCCTAACCGCAAGATGGGGGACGTGAAGGATAGCTCCACAGAACGAAATGGCATGGTTTGTTTCTACATTGTCGGCTGGTGACGTTGGGACTTGGAGATGCATCTCTTGACTTTCTCGAACGATAACAGCTTCGAGTACCTCATGTGAATACATGACATCTAGCTCTGATACACGGGTGATAATCTTCCCGTTGAGGGTCAGGATTATATCGCCCTCGAGCAAGATGGCGGGACGGTTGTCGCGCTCAAAAGTACATTTCGAAACCATAAATAGCTGATGGCTGTGCTTGTTGGCCGAGAAGACTTTGTGTATCCAATCCTCAGAAACGCCCATGACGCGAGCTTGGGACATGGCGACGGGCCGGAACTCCATGGGCAACATACGCAGCTTGGGGTCTTGACCTTGCTGAATCTGTGATACAACATGCAGTAGAGTTGGCGTAGCAAGCCCCAGGTGATACTCTTCGTCTCTCGACCCAGAGGACCTTTCACCTAGATAAGTCAGCCACAAGGCTTGTACAGTGCCATCCTTGTCAACAAGTACTCCGCTTCCACATTGACCGCTAAGGTTGGTGTCTACAGTGATTGCGTCGACGTTGGTAGCCCGATACCTCGGTGCGCCCGAGTTAGCAGGAATAGCCACCGTAGTTATCTCAGTAACTGTGGTAGCGGCGTGCACGATTCGGCCACTCCTATTATACCCGATAAAAGTTGTCGACGCCCCTTGCGTGATGTTGTCTTTACTGAGCCTCGCACTTAACACCGGCGCATCAACGAGCGCTGGATCATACTTGATAATCGCGTAATTCTGGAGTGGATGCATGAAGATAACTTTGCCTTCAACAACGATGGAGTCGGCAATTGTAATCCAAATATCGCACAGGTCGTAAGGAATGACTGCTCTTGAGATAATCACCAATCCCTTCTCGGCGTCAATCACTAAACCCATTCCCCACTTCCTGTTCCTGGGGAATCCATCTAGCTTGAGAGGCATTGTACAACCTACACGGACAAAGCTGCGGACCAAATCAGCTACGGCGGGGTGCGATGTGTGCTCCAGCTGGATGAAAGCACCCTTGCGGCGTACTGGAGGTACAGGGGGTAGGGCATCGGCAATATCTTCAAAGTCCCATACCCCGGTTGCATCGTTTCGCGTAGCCTGCCGCATCTTAGCAGACCAATGTCGGTCGACGTTGATGATTGTGGTATTGAGAGTGTGGAGATCCCTAAGGTGTTTATATGTAACTACAACACGCTTCTTATCAGGGATCTGCTTCACGACGTCGATAAAAGTATTTAGGTTTGGTGTCTTCTTCTGGTCAACGCTTTGGATCATCCAGCCGTTATCTGCACTATCGAAACGGAAAGAACCAGTCGATTCACAAACGAAAACACCGCCGCCGTCGATAGCTACTCCGTAGAGTCGTGCCTGCTGATAGGATAGGTTATGAACGCTAGCCCCGGAGACGGTTACAAAACGGTCTGGTGTGATTGCATGAAGATCTCCGACTTGGATATCGATATCGATATCTTCACCTCCTCGTTGCAGAGTCACTTGGATGGTTTTGCCAACGCTCGAGTCTAAAATGTCATCTAGCCGAATAAATTGAGTGATCATCTCACCATTCACCTTCAGGAGCACGTCTCCCTCCTCGATCTTATTGTGAGAAGGGCCTTCAGGGAGGACTATCTCAGCAACGAGCATATTGGTCTCCTTAGGAAACGTCTCCCGAACCGCCTTCTCCCAGTTCGGCGTTAGACCAAGCCTACGACACTCGTCAAATGGCTTCATAAGGAACTGGCACTGAATAGTGCCCCGCTCAACTGGCCGCCCTTCCTGTATACAGCGAAGGGCTCTTAACGGTCGATCGAGGGGTAGGAAATAGTCGGTTGATGCACCATCAGATCTCCCACCAGCTTGTAGTGCTATGGCAAAACCATCGAGATTCACTACCGGACTACCAGAGCTACCACCGCTGGCAGCAGCATTAGCTTGATAGTAATTTGTATTGAAATCGCTATAACCCTCGCCGTATTCGGGAGCATTGCGATCTAACCGGCTGATGACACCGGAAAGGATACTGAGCTTTTCGCCAGCATCGTTTCCGACAACTCTTATTTCCACACCAACTAAAATAACATGGTTAGAAACTCGAGCTTAACCATGTTTTAGGAAATAGAACATACCTTTCGCTAGATCCGGGCGGATATGGAGGGCTGAAACAGGCATGTATTTAATGGCTTTGGGGTCGAAGCGCAAAATGCCGAAGTCGTGGACGGGGTCCCGGTAGACGGGGTACGCATCGACTTCTTCATGGTTGTCGAATACAACATAGCCCCAGAAAGGTCCCGCACCGACAACATGTCTATTTGTAAGGATATATCTATCAAGGTGTTAGCAGACGAAAACCCATAGTAATTGTGATAGAGCCATCTCACCCTTTCTCGGCATCAACGACAAATCCAGTGGCTTCACTAGCGCATGCAGCATCCGTGTCGAAGGAACAGGTCTGGCAAAAACGAATAGAGACAACATTCCTAACGACCTTCTCTATAGTAGCCTGCCATTCTGCCGTATCAGGCACAGCTTGTGGGGGGTAGGGTGCTAGTTCTTCGTCTGTGGCCATATCGCTTTCGATAAAGCTTGGTAATTCAGTATCTGGTGTATTTTCGCTCGGAGACAGCTTTCGGTTTGCGGGTCGGAGGTGTTTATGAAGACGACCGTGCTCATCGGGGGAGAAGGGAGCTTTGCGCTTAGAGCGCGAGGTTGGACTTGATCCATTCATGACTGTAGGAGTCGATTGGTGACGAGAACGTGTCTCTGTAGTGAATGGACGTGTAAGACAAATAGTGAGTCTGTGTCGATGGTTGGAAGTAGATGTGCACCGTAGCGGCGATGTAGGCTGAGAGAGCCCTGAAGGGAGCTCTGGAGAGAGCCTCGAAGAGATCGAAGAGATCGAAGAGAACCGTGATGACGAGTAAAGAAACCGAGTGAGGCCTGACTCAGCAATGCGCAAAGGCAATAGGTGCCTCATCCAGCGCCGATACCTTCCAATGTGTTGTCTCGCTCATCTATCTCACACTTATGACAGATAACTTTTGCATCGGGGTAGTGATTGTGGTAACGATGAGGATGAAGTAGGTGACGAAGGTGACGCGGATGGTATCACTAATAAAAAAAAACCTCTGGGCTAATTGTCCGAGTCGATTCTGAAATACTTCGTACGTATGTTCCCACGATCCCTGCTGATAACCAAATTAAGAATCTCGAGGTCGGACCAATTCGAGATTATGTTATTGACGCAATGCAATAAAGACCGTCTATGCGAACCCGGATGAAGGCAGGTCGTTAGTAGCCTTTTTAGAAGCTTTTCACCTATCCCTTCCCGATCAGTCGGTAAAATACGTTAGGTAGGTGTAGGTGGACGGCCTGCAGCTCCTACTTACCCTAGATACAGATTAAGTTTTGCTGGATGATATGGGTAGCAAGGGGCAAGGGTGCGATAACGATCCGTTCGTTATCTTAGCTTCGGGTTCCGTGAACGGGAGGTCGGGATTAACTAATCAGGACGAGTACAGATTGTAACCTAGGTCAGATTGTTTACTTTAGATCCGCTACGCTAGGAATGCTACTCTAAGGGATTTTTGCACGTGAATGATAGAAGAGGCTCTTATATAAATACGAGCATTAGATATCTCTATTTCTATTCCCACTACAGATAAATGGTGAGTAGGGACCATATCATCCCAAGTTATAAAGATTTAAACCTATAAGCTTTTCAACAAGGATAAGAGTATGTCCCGAGGTACGAACTTGACATAAAAAGTAAGTAGAAGGACAGCTTCATTATGAAACAGGAGTTTTATTCTTTATTGCGTTTTAATCGAATATGTTTGAGCAGCAGATCGTAGAAGAGAAAATGTATCTGGTTTGCATGTCTGGTTTGCATTTGCACTCTGCGGTATAGTCTTGGCTTTAATAGATGTCATTAACCCCCATGCTACAGGTATTATTGCCTTAGGTATTGTACCTCTTAAAGCTTGCTCTTAAGACTTACACTGCCTAAAATGCCCTCCTGCATGCGTACCTTAGGTGGAAGCATTGGTGCTTTCGCTACAATAACAGACAGCCAGGCAGAGTTGTGCGACTTATCATTCAAGATTATATTCCTCGGTGTCATAACTACCGTTTTCCGTTGAGTATCACAATCCTATCACACTTGCCTAGCCTAGTCCTAAGGTTGAACGCTGGTGATGCCTCTGTAAGCGTTACCTCTGTAAGGGTGTTGAACATACCTACCGCCTTTGCTTTTTTTCCATAGATTAACAGCATCTAGCCACTTTCGCTTCTGCACCCGTCCTCATTTACAGGAAACTGCTGTATACTTACGAAGGTATGATAAGAGAAAATATGATCCATCATCAAAAATATGATATGCCTACCGCATTATGTGCTCACGGGGTTAAGTAAACTGCATACCTAGGTACCTAAAGTAATCACCTCTTCGTATCTCTCGAGTATTCGCACTGGATAGATGCGTAGGGAAACCTAGGAAACAGAAGTAGTTGGCCATTTTCTAAAGTGTGTCAACGAGTTAAGTCGGTTGGTAGGACTCCAAACATTTTCTATAAAGTTCCATTATATCCTCCGTCGTGGCCCTCTCTATCAGCAGGCAACTGGCTTCCCAACTCCAACCTAAGTACCCAGGTACGCGAGAAATCACTTACCAAAGTATGTTCCTTCTACATACATCCACTTGACATTATATACCTACCTGAGGTATGTACTCACGACACCACGCCACTGCCCGTGAATTTCTATAACCCGTACCTATTACACCTACCACACCTACCACACCTAACCCGCCATAAACCGCCCATCCCCATCTGCACCATCCAGGAAATTCACGTCCTTCCCATTTCCTTCCCATCTTACCACCTTACATGTCATACCTTAACTAACCAAAATCTTAAGGGCAAACCTTCTCCACGTACCCAAACACTATTTAACAACTCAACGGCTCATCTACCATCATGTCGAGCGGCAAAACCTGGACTCCGCAGGAGAAGGTACGCAGATCATAGCCTCTTACCACGCTGCTTCAACAGCAGGATATAATTCAGAATGAGCGACTGCTAATGAGACATACCGAATAGCTTGAATTCCTTCTCCAGGTTATTGATCGTATGCACCCAACTGGCAAGGGTATTCCCTTTGGCGAGCTTAACATGCCCGGCCGTACAATCAGAAGCCTCCGGGGGGCTTGGACAAACCTCCGTGCTGAGGCAGCTGCTTACCGCAATGGTAATAAGAAGAACGACAATGACAGCGGCCAGGAAACCGAAGCTGAAGCCGAAGCCGCTACTGCCACCAACGGTAGTCGTAGCAAAAATAAGACATCTACCAAACCAATTGAATGTATGTTACTACCTAACTAGCTTCATCACCCCTTTCCATCCCATGATGTTTCATCCACGCATAGTCACGATATGTTTAGTTGCTGACACTGCACGTCATTACAGCTCCCCGCCGTGGCTCCCGTCGGAGAACTCAGAGGAGAACCTACTCCGAATTGATTAGTGACGATGAGGGTGCGTAGTTTGACTTGAACCCTATCTAGGTACCTACCTTAGGTACCCTTTCTCTCTTTTTGTCTTCTAGGTACTGACATATCTATAATAGAGGAGGATAAGGTCTCCGTCAAGAAAGCTCGTCTTTCGTCTGATGACGAGAAAGAGGAGGAAGACTCCAATGTAGACGCTGGTATGTGACTCACCCCACACTTTATTTATTACCTCCTTCTCGTTTTCCTCTTTCTATCTTACATTCTAATATTGTATTGCTTACTTATACGCTTATAACACAGTCACCGCTACCAAGAACAGGCCTGTCCGTTCCACTAGGGGTGCCAAGAATGGAGAGCCAAAGGTCAAGCTCGAGGAACCTGTGGGCGACGACGGTGTCGAATATGAAGGTGAGGCATGAATGCGTCACCGCGTTCAAAAATGTCAACATCGACCCCTAATCTTGCATGGATCTCTGTCTCAATAGCAAGCGCAGGCTTCATGCAACACAGCCTAGAGCCTCGCATAACAGACACAAACCGATTGCCAGTCATTCGCGGTATCCTCTTCCGTGCTTTGCGTTATGCACTCCATTCATTTCATACAGCAAAACAGAGTTGCGTTTGTTCTTCAGAAGAGAGCTTGCAATAGGCGGAAAAAGCCTCCAGAGTCTCGGTCTTCGCGATATTTTACGCCAAGGGGAGGCGTAATTAGATAGTGACTACATCTAGTTTCCGCAGTCGTGCGCACACTTACAATAGTATAGCTAAATGAATACTTGCGCGTGAATTTTCAGAATTGAATTCATTTACGATATTTCATCTAATATTGATTAGTCCCGTTTCCGTACTACTTTATCCAATATGTTGTCTCTTGATTTATCTACAACCCATCTTGCCTTGTCATACCCGGCTTTGCTCACGAACGAATTTCCAAGTAAATTAAATTATAAGCAGAATTATTTACAATATAGTAACTAAATAATCTTCACACGTAGATAAAGCAGAAATTGAATGTTTGCTAGCCAGGCGGGTAAGAATCCAGCTCGTAGAGATGAAGTTCCCCCCTTTTTTAACCCTGGCAACCAAAACACCAGATATATAAGTTGTAAAAACCACACAAACTATCACGTACGACCATAGGATCTGGAAAACTCGGGATCCCGTCTGCTCTCCCCGTCGATAAACCAGATACCGCCGGACTAGTAATTGGGTCGGTGACGATCAGTGAATCCCCGGTGTTGTACGTTTTTGGTCTTCTTTTCGCCCTTTTTTTATTAATATAATATTATAAGATAGATCGATCCTATATTCCTTTCTATTATGATACGCCATCTTCGTAGTTTTGTATTCTTATAATAGCTAGTTAGTATTACATATGTCGTTAGTTCCAATCGTAAGTATGTAGGTTAGCTGTTCACCGAGCGCTTCAGCTATCATGTCAACCTCGACTGAACATCCTCGCCAGTCACAAAATGCATCCCGCCTTCGCACCGATAACCACCGGCAACCTTATTCCAAGCAAACCCATTGACGCAGACATTCATCTGCTGTATGGCCTGCTGTACCCTTTTCTCGTCCCGTATGCGCTTCTGAGTCTCCGAGAGTTGGCTTCGCAGCGCATCGCACGCTGGGGCATCGCCGCTCTTTTCGGCGTCTCGCAAACTGCGCTCTAGTCATTTGATTTCGGTATCGCGCAGGACGCGTCGAGCGCTTTCGATCTTCTTCGTCTTGGCAAGTTCCTGCCAGACGACGTCGAACACGCCCTCTTCACGTATGTCTGCACTCGATGCGTTTTGCCCTTGTGTGTTGCGGTCGTTTTGCGGTCCGTTCGTTCCTTTGTCGACGGCGGCGGCTTGAGACGTTAAAAAGCTGTTGAGACCTTGGCCTTGGGTTCTAATCGAGGCGCTATTATCTGCGACAGAGAAGCTGCTTTCTGCTCTAAGTGCATAGGAGGTAGAGACGGCCGGAGGCGGTGTTGCTGGCTGCGGGCTAAACATTATTGGGTGGGAGCCCATTCCCCTGCCCGGCGGCTGCTGTGACGAGGCCGTCTTGTTATTTGATGCCGTGGCAGTACGGCGCTCCTTCTGCTGTGTGATCATCTGCCCCATACAATCTGTGATATGAGCTGCGGAGATGACTCGGGCCTGGTGGGCGCAGTCATAGTCGATGGACCCAAGGAATCCTCCAAGAATTCTCCTTGGTAGGTTTCTTATATCACGGGCGTTGCTCCATCTAGGAATCGATTGCATAGCGCGGAAGAGCCTCTTGACTTTTCCATAGTCTGGCGAGCTCGGGTTCGTGAGGAAACCGGCTTCACTTGTGAACTTGCTGAATTCAAGCTCCTCGGCAAGCAACGCAATGCAATCATCGAGAGGGATGTTATCAAAGGTAATCTCCTCTGGGAAGAGACTCGCAAGGGCCGGTCGAGTTGATATGAGGTTATGCATGTCTGCCGTATAGCCGGCTAGGATCACGATAATCTTGCCCTTATGCGACGGTCGGGTAAGGAACTGGATCAGCTCGTCGACTGCCTCAGTTGCATATTGTCCATGAACGAGTCTGTGGGCCTCATCTATGAAAATAACTCGTCCGACACCTTCCTGGAGCTTCTTTCGTGTCTTAGGGACCGTCTGGCCAACGTACTGACCTAGGAGGTCGGCTACGGTGCATTCGACTACTTGGGGCGTCGCTAAAAGTCCCATGTTATAGAAAAGTTCTCCCATCTTCTGTGCGGTGATGGTTTTCCCAGTACCTATATGGGAGATGAAAGTTAACAACATCTTGGTTTCATTTACCTGCCTACGGCTATGCTCTGAGTGAATCCCTATATCCAGTACCCAACCATTCTTTTCTGACATGGTGGTAAGAATATGCGATATTACTTCGTGGCAAACTTATGTGCACCAAGAAAATGTTTTATCGAGTCGTACACGCGGCTTTCGGGAGTATGCATTATAAAGTAGGTTGGGTAGCAAGGTAGATGCCGAGGCGTCTTAGGGCCAACCTGTACAGTTTAAGCCTCCTTTGATGTGTACAGCCTTGTGCTGGAATCAAGAGCCGGTTTTCTATCTACACGGCTTGGGTAATGCCACAACTTGGTCTTAGGACGACTGCTTCTAGCCCTAACACCTTCTAATTGAAACTAAGCGACAGTAGAAAATCTTGAAAGCCCAAGTATCTTAAACCCCAGGTTTAAACCAAGCATGGTTTAGTATGCAGCTGGCTGTAGAGCGGTTATCAGGGGTATACGTTAGTAATTTTGAGAGAAGGTCCGAAAAGATTTCGATTTCCCCCTGAGGAATATCTCGCTGAATCCCCCCCGGGCCGTGACTATTCTCGTAGAATAGGCCTTCTGCAAGCGTCTCTTGTAGTGGCCTTGGTTGTGGCTTTTGCATAACCACTGCACCTATAGCGCCGGGACCTGGGCTCCTCTCGTTAGAACCTCTGCGTACCTCTATTACTCGATTTCCCGCATCTGCCTTGTCCTCGAAGTAATCCCTACGTGCCTTCCAAGTTTCGGACCACCAGGGCTCTGGAAACTTGCCGAGAACCATGGCCATTTTCCACAAGTGTTCGTCGGGTTCGCCGTCGTACGTGTCAAACAGCTTCGTCCCCGTGCGAATCTCGAATAACGTACAGCCGAGGGCCCACAAGTCACACCCAAGACCGACTTTGCCTTCTAAAGTGTACTCGGGAGAGCAATAAGCCTGTGGTATACCCAAGTCCGCAACCGGAGCAGTCATATCTTAGCTCTCGCCGAAATCGATGACGCGAATCTTGTCAGGGATGAAGTGTAATATTGTGGTATTCGTTGCTGTTGAATCCCAGTCCACGGGATATACTAGATATTGAGGGGCCGTTGGTAAGTTATGACCCTCACCAGAAAGCGTGACCACTTTCGTTGTGTCAGGTATCCCGAGATTTGCAATTACTTCATCCTCTGAGAGCCCATCTAGACCCGATGTTTGGGTCAGAATGTTGGCCGGCCTATAGTCTTCGCAATGCTCTGTTAGAACTTGAATTGTAGGAAGACATGTAAATAGGTATACATACCACCGTGACAGATGCCTCGCCTATGGAGTTCAGCCATAGCTTGGGTCACCTGCAGACAGATCCTTTTTAATATTTCTCCTACATCATCAGACTGAGCGACACTGAGCAGCCTTGACACTCGGGGACCTAAAACCGGATATACGAAAACAAGATGTGTACCGTTCGGTCCATTAATCTCAAACTAGTCTAATGGAAGACAGAAACAGTCCGGACTTTGAAGTTCATCTAATCCACAACCTAGGAGTTTGTTTACTCGCAGCTCAGGACAGTCCTTGGTGGGTTGTTCTCCTATTATGATCTTCAGAGCTACATATTTAGGCGTATCACTGGAGTTGTCGCGGCAGAGCCACACGTTTGCGTAACCGCCGGTTCCCAGTTTATGGATTACCTTGTAGCGAGAGTGTAGAATATCGCCCAAATGGACGGGGTGGTGACCTCCTTCCTCATAGTCGTATATTTTCTCGAGTCCGAATGGGGAGCCCTCAGCCACTAAGCCGTTTCCCTGATATTCGCTTTCGACCGTCGAAGCTATCGAACTGGCTTTAGACATATCGAAGATAACAATTTGGTGAGTAATAGTTAGACTTATTGAAGTAAGTTATTGGATAAATAGAGCTATCTTTCGCTGAGCAAACATCTCTTCTAGAAAATAATGAGAAGTGGAAGGCATATAAGAGTGCTTTTTATCTGCTTGTTATCTGTTACATTTTTCCTATAACGGGTTGTGTAAGTGGAACCTATTAGCCGCGCGGATACTGGATCCTTCCCTTGCATCCCCCTTTTAACCATGTCTTTCTCAGTCTCGGCAAGGCTCCCGGAAACTACAATGCCCAAATGATACATAATTAGCAATATAACATAAACCTATCCCAGAGGTTCCCTTTTAACAAATCATTATGCACGGGGTGACTGATCTCAACCTTTCTATAATCGGCGATCTTTTATTATATTCGCAATGCATATGGGTATCAAATGCTCCATGCGCACATCAACAACGTTCGAAGACCCTATAAAGTCCTTTGAGGCTTGCCAACTCAAGTACACCACCCTTCATAAACGATTTTGTCGCTACCAATCTTGCCTTGAATGCAGGAAAGAAGATATGCTCCACTGCGCGTCGGATCTGTTCTCTTCTTGCTTTGATCTCATTAGGGATATCTTCCTCAGTCTCGTCGTTACTTGGGAGCGTCGGAAGCTGTTCTGGGACATAGAATGTTGCTAGTTCCTTGAGGAATGTTTCGAAACACAGCTTCTCGTCTGTCCAATCTACATGGGGACCAAGGCGGAGAAGAAATTGCGGTAGTTTCGCCATAGATGGTGTGTAACCCTTTAGGAGAAGTGGCATACTCGATAGCTCGCCGGCTGGAGATATGTCAAAGCTGAAGTACTCCAGCAACATTTCCCTCCTCTCGATCAACTGTTCTGCCACCGTATCCACAACGTCGTCTACATCAAATTCATCATCCGTAGCGGCAGCCTTTTCCTGTTCGGCCGCTATTCTGAGAACTTCACGTAGGTCAAGTGCAGGCTGGAATTTTATAACACCGAAATTGCCAAAATCGGTGAGCCCAACCTGATAGAAATACTCAAAACATGCTCTGCCATAATCAATAAGAAAGAGTTTGACGCCTCCTTGAATGGCGGCCAGTCGGCGTCTCTCGTCTACGATGCCCACGAAGGTGTGATTAGCAAATATCTCGGTGAGCTCGTGGTGCATATCGTCTCTGACGGCGGAGCGAAGTTCGCGCACACTAGTGAGTCGACAGAGAATCGGCTCACGGTCAGTTATTTCATAAACCGGTTCTTGACCTACGTCAGGCGCGGCATTGCTCGATGCGTGAGTTGCTGGCGATGGCGAGGCCACAGAGAACATGCTGGTGATCTTACGCAGCGAAGCGTCCGTTCTAACCATATTGCGCTCATCAGGCCGCACAAGCGTTTTCCGCGGGCCGCCCGGTGTTTTAACAGAAGAGCTGTTCACGTCTGGTTGAGAGGTATCAGAAAGCATAGAACCGGGGAGTAGAGTCTGTGTGAAGAAAGTGCGACTCGTATCAACTGCTGCTAATTTATCCCGGATATTTTCACAGATAGATTGGATGATCTCATCCTCATTCAGAAAGTTAACTTCTTTCTTCGTTGGATGGACATTGACGTCGACTCGTTGAGGGTCAATTTCAAGGCTCAGATAAACGAATGGATGTCCATTTTTAGGAAGGAAGGCGGAGTATGTTTGTTCCACCGCCTTCTTAATGTTGGATGAATCAACACTGCGATGGTTGATGAAAAGAAGGAGAGTCGTTTTCTTGATATGGTAGTTAGCATTGGTCGCCCATCCTGAAGCCTTAAAGCCCCAGCGGTCATCGGCCGCGGTGAACTCTATCAGCTCGCTCGCAACGGCGCTGCCGTGGATCTGACGAATACGGTCTATCGTAGAAGCTTGTTGTTGCACCGTGATCGATGTACCCGAATCGCCGTGTTTCTTACATGAGAAAGCGACATCACTACAGTGAATGGCATAACGCCCTACCATATCAATGATCTTGTTATACTCATCGGAAGCGGACCTAAAGGCTTTACGTCGCGTTGGAACATTGTAAAACAAATCTTCAACTGATATCTGAGTGCCAATACGCCCAGCAATAGGTTTAGGGTCGGGCTGCTGCCCGGGCTTTGCGGGCGATAGCTTGCCGCCATCGAAATGCGCTCGCCACGAACAATTAGAGTCTTTAGTTCTTGTAGTTACTGTTAAGTGAGCAATGTGGCTGATGCTGGCGAGGGCTTCGCCCCGGAAGCCATAGGTGCAGATATTGCTCAAGTCCTCGAATTTCTTGAGTTTAGACGTGGTGAATCTCTCGCATAGGATCGGCAAGTCCTCTTTCTGTCGGGCATCGTAAGAAATTGGGTGTATGCGACAATTAGGATTGAGGGAACTTACATTAATTCCATGACCATTATCGGTGATCTGCAATAACTTGAGACCGCCATCTTTAACCAGCACCTCTAGAGAGGTTGAACCTGCATCAACCGCATTCTCAATCAACTCTTTCAAAGCATGTACTGGGGCTACGATGATTTCGCCGGCAGCAATCTTGTTCACAACGTCTGGATCCAATGCCTAGAGGGTGTCGATAATCAGCCCTACGTTCCCTAGTTGGATTGAAAAGGAACACTAGCCTTGATTCGGCGGGGAGTGTATTCATCCGGGGACGATGGGTCCTTTCGTTTGGTGCCTCTTGGCTCGTCAAGCTCCATGGGATCAGCCATTTTGATATCACTTATCGCGATATTACTGCTTGCTTGATAGGTATGACGAAGATTGCCTATTAAGTCTTATAGTAGACAGGCATTTTCGGCTCCCCTTTGGCCTTCTAGTTTAAGTACCTAAGGTTTGCCCCAAGGTCTATCACAGCGATACCGCTCAAATAATAAGAATTAATGTAAGAGGAATTGGTTTCTCATCTGTTTGGTCGCTACTTGAATTGTTGCAGAGATCGCGTTTGCATTAGTGAGCGATAAGTGTGATGAGTAAGTGTAGCGGTTTGTTATTTCGCCGGATTGTGCCTTCTGAATAAGGGATGATGAGTGAGTGGAAGCGGCAACTTACCTAGAATTCAATGTTGCATTGTACTGTACGGATTACTAATATGTAAGCCATACATGTAGGTAAGGCAAGGCAAGAGAGGAAGCCGCATAGCCAATCAACACCTACCATATCCACAGAATATGCATCCATAGGGGAATTTAACTGTGTCTTGTACTGTGTTCATACATGCGCTTGGACCTCCTTTTTTAGATCTGAGGCTACCTATAATTGACAAACTGCCATTAACACAGCGCTTATTATTCTTAAAATTGCCGTCAATAACAAAGTGCTGTTAATCGTCTTTCAACTCTAGAGAACGGCTTAGTTTATCTTATCCCTAGGCATTCCTAACTTCATCAAATTTCTTTCTCGGTTGAAGGATTCGATCTTAGACTTTGCGATATACACTATTATCTCGCAAGCCGAAGCTAGAGGATTATTAAGGTCCAAGGATTGCTACGCTAAAAGACTACCAGATATCATATGTGATGAGACACATTGGTGTGAATTAGGTGGCTTACGTACATGATGATATAGGAGGTAGTTTTCCTACAGGCTTTGCCTATTTGAGGCATAATCGCAGATTCATGTTAAGCCAAGTCCATGTCAGACTGCCCCCGAAAGAGCCGACTTGATAATGGATTCTTATGGCAGTAAAATGTAAAGGTGTGACGAACTTGACGATTGAGGATATTCCGAGCTTCACGAAAATGTAAACATGACATTGTCGGAATACGGAAGGAAGACCGAAGTTTATGAGTAACACTAAATGTCCAGCCGGATAATGATGGCTTTCCGGAATCAGTAATATTGGATTATCCCCTATGCGCATGCTACTGTTATTTCGGCATCATCCAACTTACGTCGTATATACTAGATTATAGGCAAGGAGCCCCATTCCGGCTTACGCTCGGCAAGGGATTTCCAAGTTAGGATCTAAGGCGATCGATCACTTGCTACTATGTATACGATTACGATGAGTCTAGCATTTCAACTTCTAGACCATTGCTTAAGGGCCAAGATATATGTCAATGCGATGCTGACTAGAGCTAATCGGCTTTAGCCGTATTCTCAACGAGAAAGCCCTTAACATCACGCATGATAGAAACGATGTGTTCGAAAAGACTGATGAAATGGGGAAAACACAAGTCGTATCAAATGAGGCCTGTGTTTGATGCTAGTTATACTTTTCTTTCCAAGTTTAGTTCATAATAAAGAATTAACTAATAGAAAAATCTAGGTCTATTTTCTGTCTCATCTGTAGGTTAGGTAAGAATTTAGTTGAGGGAATGAGTGTAATTCTACCCAGCACAGAGCGGCATTCATACCCTTGTTGAGGCTAGGGCAGCACTAAGCGTACTCGAGATACATAACAGCAACCGAGATCGACCCCAATCTTATTTCAGAAAGACGAGTTAGTTAGAAGATATTGCGATTAGTTTGAATTACTATCATGAGAATGGAGCTTTTTGATCGTTAGTATGCCCTTCTAGTGGCCTGTAAGATACTCAGGGGTCTCTGTCTACCCCCTGCGCTGTCATGCATTATCCCGACGTCACTCTCACTTTCGTACTCGTTTTCATTCAAGCATTTCGGGTTCCGCTTCCCTTGGGACTGTAAACTTATCCCCCGGCAAGTTTAACCGCCTGCTCGGAACGATTTGCGGGACGGTTACAACTTTACGAGACGACACATTGGAGGATGTAGGAAATTATTAAAGTAAAGAACTCTCCTAAGTGTGATGATTCGATAGTTAACTCTTACATATAATGATGATGATGATGATGATGATGTTTAAGAGGCACACGCGATATCTCACTTTTGGGTCGGAAGGATTATTACCAACCCCAAGAATCAACCCCGGCTATGCGGGCCAACAGCTTGGGTGTTGGTGTGCATCTGTGATGCGTATTGTGTGAGTGATCGCTTCCGCAATGACAAGCATCATTACTTCTTAGACAAGGGTATTCGAAAAGACCCAAGAGGAGAGAACCAGTCGGGAGTTTTTATCTCTTCCCTCTCTCTTATTAGCGTCAGTTTATTAGACATTGCTACCCTACCCGTGCTAGATGTGCAGGTGTGCATCCGTAGGCTCGTTACGGTACCGCAGTCCCGTATCACTGCGCGCACGCTGCAACGGCTCGGACAATTTTACCCACTGACTTACCCCTGTAGACAGGCCACATAAGATAATCCCATGTATGTACGTAGTAGGCCAGCGGTAGGTAATCTCAACTGCGTGCTGCTCCAAAATGTGAGAAGTGCAGATGCAGGCACGCACCCCCCTTTGCGGTTTGATGACTAGATGCTAGCGAGCCAACCACGGCATTGATTCACCTCTATCAAGGTTAAGCTTGTCCGTATTCTGTCTGCACAGACATGGAACTTTCTAAACGGGGGTGGTACGTGCATGTTTTCTTGTCTATCTTGCGGTGTGCTTCGGCTGGCCGAGGTGATGCAAGATGCAAGTTTGCAAGGGCGTTACGGTAACTGTATGTGCAGAGATCGGAGCTAGGAAGATCGAAGTCTTAGCAAGGAATACCCAGTCCAGCAGGGTACTGTGGCATAGAAAAGAGGGGAAGAGAACAAGAAGCATCCGAGCAACAGCAGCAAGAGAATTTTGGTTCGTTTCAAGCGTTCGTAATGCGTGAGAGTCGGTGTATTTATGTGAGCGCTTATATGTGTGTGGTGTCTTCGTCCCGCGAATTCTATTTTGCGCCTGTGTGGACAACAAGTATACATAGTAGGTAGTATGAGTATACATGAGTGACGAGCGTGTATCGTCTCGACGGTGCTTTGTTGATGTGTACTGTCGTAATATTCGGAAATGAAAAACAACTTTCCCGGTACAAAACATTATATTATAGACCTCGATATCATATCAAACCACCACAATGAACCCAGCAACCGACCCAGCACTGACCTCTTACTGGTTACCGCTTACGCCAACCCAACAGCATAATTGTATATTTAAGAAGAGGATCCCAAGGAAAGATCTGGAGAACAGCAAGACGGGGGTTGACGGGTAACGGACCGAATCCTTATAATTAGTTGAGGCGGAATATAAGTTTGCCTCCTGGGTTGTATTGACGGGCCTGGATGGATCTGATGGATGGATAGGATCTGATCAGCCTACCTCCGAAACGAAAATCTTTAAGAGTCGCGGGTAAACATGCCGTTTCTTGTTTTCTCGCGCTTGTTTCATTTCTCGACCCAATTTTCCTTCTTGTCCCGACGGAAAATGTTTCATTTCATTGATATATCCATCCCAATTTCTGTGGTTTCTACCTTTTTACTCTGCTCTCCCCCACGCTTATTTCGTGTATTTGGCTAGATAGCCTATAACCTCCTATTCGCTGCCCTCCTCCTCCTCCTCCTTGTTTCCAACCTATACAATATCCTTCTTAGGACTAGCATCTTATTACACGATCTCGCTCCATAGAGCCTCACCCTCTCGCTTTCCTTGGCCGATACTGTTGGCTAGATACAAGACGAGATAGAGATCAGAAATTGGGGGAAATATACACAAGATTAGAACAATGACGGCGAGAGATCCCGAACTCGAAACACCCCGCCCTCCTATTTGGTTCCACTGAGTTGCCATCGAACAGTCTGGCACGGGCAAGCTGGGCGAGTCTGGCCTTACCACCAGGCCACCGTCTCCCATTCACGTCACAAAAACAGAGCCCCAAAGCCCGACCTAATATATAGTACATGAAGATGCAGCTGACCTTCCGAAAAAACGACTCTTCTCATTATGTTGCGCTCTCCTCTTCTCCCCTCGTGCTGCCGCCTCCCGGCGTCGCACGAATTTCCTATTTGTGGCGAAACAAGAGCCTCAAAACGCCGTACCCGAGGAAAAACAATTCGATATGCGATTAGAAACATGATTAGGTTACCCTACTGATCCAAGGCGATGGGATCGGTAAAATAAAAGCAAGCTCAAATCCGGACGACTCGATCGAGGCGATAAAACGGCTAAGTAGGATCATGCTTATATTAAAACGGTCCTGGAAAGCAGACGCCGTGTAATAGCGGGTGTATGATATATAGATGGAAAGATGCATTATGTTGTACATGGTATCTCGTGCGCGACTGAAAACGACGGATGCGCGATATGGGTATAGTTTACAATTCGAGTGCGAATGGGGTTGTAGTATTCAACATTAACCTAGCGGATAGGCGCCGAGAGCATCCAGCCTGAGAAAGAGACCGGAACTACCTAGAGACGAGACATGAGATGATTCATGGCGTCCGATCATTGATCAACCACTACCGACCTCGTCGCGACGGGTCGGGCTTTTCTATTAATCCGCCAATGTCGACACGGCTTGAACGATCATCTCGCTGCCAACTGGACGGTTCTCCTGGGGGGCCGGCTTGACTCTGGCCACGAATAGGAGGCAGTTGATATTCGACTTGCTGGGGAGGCCTGACGATGGATAGCTCGCTCCTTGGAATATGGTGAGAAGGACCGGCGGGAGGCTCGATTCGCGAGGGAGTGGAAGCGGAATAAGAGGAAACGTTCGGACTGATGCTAGGGGTAAGGCCCGAGGCCATAGGCGCGGGAGTTGGCGGTTGCCGTGGTGTATAGGCACCCTCGCGAGACGATTCCCCGTATCGAGGGCGTATGGAGTCGAAGGAACTCGAAATCGGAGTTAACTGGGCATACGACTGGAATGAATATTGAAAATCTCGGGCGTGAGGAGAAGGCGACGGGTGAGGGAACGGCTGAGCTGGACGGTTTAACAGGAGCAACACGACGAAGTATATCGAGTCCTCCTTTGCTAGTCCGACACGGATCGGGTAGGGTCGTAGCTGTCCGTCTCCCCCGACAAAGTTGAAGAAATCATGACGATCTAGTTGGAACCTCGATATCGACTCTGGACTGAATGGCAGTGCCTGTATTACCCTCGCGGCCTCTTCTTTCCCGAAAATTGGCGGCAGATAATTCGGTTCCTTTTTCCCCTGTTCTTCCTGCAGAGACCTCTGGAGCGCAAAAACTCTATCACGCTCTCCTGGATTGACGACATCTAGCAACCTTCGACCCATGACTGATCGAACACCTACTGCTTCCATAAATGTTCCTGACGCCCCCATAATCTCCAGATCTGTCGTCAAAAACGCCACAGGCTCTTGTGCACGAGGGGGTATGGAAATGGGCGCGGGAAAGATGTTTGCGTCTGAAGCCGATCCGCGCTCGATAAACCTAGGCGGAATGGGATCACCACTCGGTTGTGATTTTAAGACCCTATAAGAATGGTTTCTTCGAAGAGGGTCTTCGTACGAGGCAGACACCGCGCTAATCGGCGAATAAAGTGAGACTGGTCGTCGTATTACGGGATCACTTGGGTGAGGGAATCTCCCTGTATCGAATCGGGGTTGGTTGTCATCGCGTAATCGGGGTCGGCCGCGCTTTTTATGTTGGACATCAACACACGAGTCTTCTTTGCCGTTGCTCAGACACCGCGAACATGGCCGCTGGGCTATTATAAGCACATATGGTCAGCTTTATACCACGATTCCACGACATGTAAGCGCATATGAAATAAAGAAATAAGATTCCCCCGGACTCGGATTGGAATATGGGAGATATGCCCTCAACGAACAATCTGCCATGTGGGATGTGGTTTTGGGGGGGTTTTTGAAACGCCTGGTCGGGTCGGAAGAGTTGCCTCCTGGAGTTTCATGGTTGTGGCATATTCATCATGGTACCGGGGTCTGATGGTTTGATGATAACAGTATGCAACTCCCCATTATAGGGATTGTCCCGCCCTTTTTGCTGCGCCTAGCTATCTCAGTGCCTTCGCTACCTATACCAGTCTCCTTGCTGAGCCCCGGTGTATAAAGCAAATCCTTGGTCGTTTTACTGACTTATTGACGTTATGTCTGCTGGAAGGGGCGAAAATCCGGGATTCAAAGTGAGATTCGTTTCCCCCCTTCGAAGTAAAGCCTGTTTACCCGCTGCCATAGCCATGAATGAAAGGGGTCCCTCATAGCTTACCATCCAAAGGACGGCTTTAGTTGATCGATACTATGCTTATAGTGCTCATTTTCGTGGCTTTCTCTCCAAGGCTACCTCGAACATATAACTGACAACGGAGAAATAACGTAAATAAACGGAGCTCAATACATACCATCACATCTAACAACAGTTAGTATATAGAAGTCTATTAGAGCAGAGGGATCAAATTCTCTACAGTACCTTAAATGTGCTCTTTTGCAGGGCACGCAAGCTGAAGCTACATGCCCCTTAGTTTTCCGCTGGGATTTCGGAGAGGCGTAAGGCGGGTTCTCGGCACCTTGCGGGTTACTCGGCATCGGATAGGATGACGGTCCTATATTTGGTCCAACTACAGGAGGAAGCGAGTACTGAGGCTGGGGAACCATCGGGCCTGGTTGCTGTGCGTAGGGAATAGGTCTTCCCATCGTGTCCTCTGGGCGGTGATATGGATACGGCATTCGCTCCGGAGCCTCTTGGGGGTATGGTCTGGTGGAACTGGTTGTAGGGGGTAGTAAGGACGATTGTGGCGGTGCTGTTCGATACTTGCCTCCTGGAACCGTTGAGCTTGGACGGTACGCATCATGACTAGTGGGCTGGAAGCTTCCCTGACCTCGATCACCGACCTCTGGGTATGATTTGGGCGGGAGTGGTGGTGGAGACCCTGACATGGGCGGAGAGGGATACGCCCTTGTGCTGCTAAGAGCACAATCCGTCTCTGCTCTGGCCCAGGACAGGTCTAGAGAGAAGTTCGCCAGATTCAACAAGCCTCGGCGTTGGCCGAGCGGATGGTTCGACTGCTCAGCACGATAAATAAGAGTTTGCATGGATGCAGCCGGGGGAGAGTATACGACAGGACCGTGAGAGCCCCCAACGTCTTCGTCTCCTTCCAAGCGGCGGTCCGACACCTTCGCTGGGAGTATGGCAATATCGTTTAGATATTGTTCCGGCGATTCTCGACAAATATCACTCCCAAGCTTACTCGCAAATTCGGTAATGTTTTCAAAGTCACTTCTTGGCCCGCGGATCGTACCAGTTGGTAAGCAACGCTTTTTTTCTCCAAGTCCGTGAGTGGCAACCCAGATTTGGAATCTTTCAAGAATTAGAAGAGTAGTTCTCGGCTCAGTTCTTTTCACTCGCGTAGGGAGTTTATTAGCTGGAAAGTTATACGGTCAAAGCAAGTCGAAGACCGGTTAGTAATGGCGACTCAGTCCTGACTCGTCCTGAATCGATGGCGCAAGTTAAAAGACAGCGTTGGACAAGCAAAATCGCCTGTGGTACTGGCTCAGTCAAGGTTAGAGAATCCAGTGATACGGCGCGCTGCGAAGTTGGTGGAAACCTAGGAGATGGGATGACGGGGAGCTGCAGCACAAGACACACGACCGGTCTCCTTGTAGCACCGTGAGATATAGCTCTTGAGTCTTGGAGGCCTAGGAGGCAACGTGCCGGCGGTAGCTGTGTCGGGCAGAGCTTGATGATGCCAACTTGTCGTCTCGAGATGGAGAAGCTTGACAACTTTTGGGTCTGGATAAGGTCGCGGGAGGCTTTTGTGCGACTTTAATATTAGAGATTGGGACAATTTAGGTACGAACCAGGGTACAAGCTCTTTTGGGGCGGCATACGAAAGTACAAGGCCAGTAGCTACACACGCGCCAGGCCTGCTTGGCAGTTCTTCGTTGACAAGCACTGGCAATGTGCTGGCACGGGCGCTGGGCTTAGGCTGGGATGTATTGTACTGTATGTACTGGGGGTGTATTTTCTATAGCAGGGAGTGGGCATGGAGAAAGAGCATGTTGATGTGACGAGGCGACTATGCAAGAGGCTAATAATAAGATATGTACATATGTCCTCTAAAGAATAACAATGACAACGAGAAGGGGCATGTGTACAGAAAGTACAAGTCACTGTACAAGTACCTACTAGCCGGCTAATAAATGTGCTGAGAGTAAGGATGAAGATGGGTAGTAGTGCTAGATAGAGGTGGACCTACTCGACAAGGTCGCCATGATGGTAAAATCCTAGTACTGTCCAGGGTCCCATGGGCGCTGTGGACCTGTCAGGGTAGACCCCGGCCTCGACGGGGAAGCATTGGTTGCTAATCATTGATCAAGGATTTAAGGGTAGCGGAGAGGGCTAGCAGGCTAGTAACGGCCATGAACGAAATCCCCTATGTTCATCTTGTAACATCCCACGATGCTATCACAGACCATGCGATACAGTACAATTCATTGTACTTTGCGTCCCCTGCGTGTCTTCCACCTTTTCCTTTTTCCTTTTTTCTTGTCTTAACCCTGGCGATCTGAGAATTCCCCGCGAACAGCCATGATGCGACCTCGTCTGAGCGCCCTAAGATTGCTAAGAAATGCGCAACGGAAATAATGAGACAGATTTTCCAAACATGTGTCTTTAATTGGCTAGGGTTTATCGAGATTCGAGGGACTAAGAGACGAAGGGGTAGAGTTCTACATACAGTACTTTAGGGGGTGTGTATTGCTCAACGGCTTTTAGGAGGGGGTGTGCGTTTCTGATTGCCGGCCCACGACCAGCAGGCCGACCTGCTGCTACTATCTCTGACCTCATATAGCCCCTAGCAAGGGGAAACGAACGGTACGTTAAAAGCTCTCGCTAACAAGTCTGCTTCTAAGAGGGTAGGAGCGGGATGCAAGAGAAGTAGTTTAAGAAAATGCCCGGTTATGCAGTCTTTGCGCAGATATGTAAGTTGGTATGCACGTAACTTTAATACACTGCAAGGGACCCTGATGATCTACTGAGAGGTTATTGTAAAGTTGTGTATTTTGTTGTGTTGTTGTAGATAAGTCGAATAAGACAAGATGGAATATCTAGGCCGTAGCTCTAACAAAGACAAAGCAGTTGAAAGCAAATGAGAGATGAGAGTACGTACATGTTACTGATGCTACTAATTGAGGGCCAACGTACGGGTGGGAAAATTGTACGTCGGCCAGCCAGTAAAAGAAGGTAGAAAAAGAACGGAATAAAAAATAATAATACTACTACTACTACTGACCGAATCGGCTTCCGGCGTCAAATGGCGAGTTAACTATTGGCCGGACGTTAATTTTGATTGGAGGAAGACGAGTCCAGAAGGTCCAACGTCCAGGCCTCAGCTCAATCAAATAGATTGACGAGTAGCATCTTACACGTGCATTATATAAAATGATGTAATCCGTAAAAGAGGATAATAAGATCAGCGGAAGATTCGACATCAGTATTCATACTCAAAGACACCAAGGAAGTTTAAAATTTAGTCCGCGCAAAGATGATACCGTCTACAGCTTTTCATATTAGATAACCTAACTTGGGTAGGTAGGTATTATTATGTATGGTAAGATTAGACGTGTACCAACAATATACCAACAATACACACACTAACAATATTAACAATTTTATAATACGTGACATACCGCGAGTAGCAAAGCTCTCTCCTATGAGGCTCTACTTTTAGACGAGCTAACAGTTGTTCCCGGGAAAAGAAGCCATAAAGTAAAGAGGTGGTATCCCGAGCTTTTAGTACGTAACCGTCACCGACTAAGAACCCGGCCTTCGTGGAGCTAGCTGGAGAAAGTAGATGAAAAGTCAGATTCGCAAATATAGTTACTATCAACCTGAACCTCACCGACCTTGACTCTCCCACCTCCCACCTCCCACTTACATACGAAGTAGTACGTGGCAAGAAAGGAATTACGGTGTACGATAGTATATACAACATAACCTCCTCCTGCTCCGTACGGAGATGGGCGAGTCTTGAATTTTTAATGGTGGATAATCTACGGCCGCAGAATAAAAACTCCCCCCGTGAGTAGTGTACAGTAGCATAGCAGCATGGCAACATGGCAGCATGGGTCCGAATAATAGGGGAGGCTTGAGCGGAACCGGACTTTGAAGGGACTTGGCCGCGTGCCTAGCCGGCGGCAGTTCCTTAGCGGCGGCTCTACGATGATTGTCGCATCTGAGGTGGATGGATCTTATTTGAGGGATGTGATGAAGTCGAAATTTTGATTGTATTTCATTTCACCTCGTATTGTAAGCACATTTCTTCTAGATAATCAACTGGCAATCGACATGGGGAAATCTTGCAGGTATTACATACCAAGTTCTGGGTTTCGATCAATTCTGCATGGACCAGGCCAGGATTGGTCGAGGGGGACAAGGAAGGCCTGCCGAGTTCATGCATCGACATTTCAAAGTACAGATTATTGAAAAAAGTTTGTACGTAGCTGCATATACAGTACAGTACAGTATCTACATACGATGATGCTCCATTTATTATTAGCCTTGCATGGTGTTATTGTTCATTCTACATTGCATACGACTAGCCCTGAATAGAGTGAGATGACGAGACGTATATAGGTAGTATATATTACATTACTATACTATTAGGTATCTGCTAATGGGTGTGCCTAGTCAAGTTGTTGGTTCAATAGCTGATCTTCGCTCACGCCGACCATAATATCGTGTCTTTTAACTTCTTATCTAGACTTTCTCCAGCCGTCCCCCTTCACCCCTGCCCAGCAATGACGAACGTCAGAGCAGGGGTAGAAAAAGAAAAAAAAAAGGACTATCGATCATGGTACATATGTATGTATGTATGTATGTATGTATGTACGGCGCGATGCGAGGATCGACAGTCACATCGTCCGAGCTTTTAATGCCTTAGTATCTATGTGTTAGATGCCAACATGACGCCTCATTTCCCCAGAGACCTCTTCGATGAAGAAGTGCTAAGCATTCAAACTAAGAAAGCCCAGCCTTGAAAAAGGATTCAAGACCTGCGGTGATCAGCGTGGGGTTATGTGCGAGGTCACATCAATTTGGGATTAGTTTTACTCTACCCAGACCTAGTGACATGTGTGTGCTAGATAGAACCGGGTAAGCGTGTCGACGCATGATCCCGAAAGGGTAAAGAATACGGGCACCATCGGCGACCTGGTACTTAAATAGCAGTAGTTAAAGCAAATGTAGTACTATGTAGTTTATCTACGGGTGGCCTTTCTGAGCTTGTCACTAATAATAAATGATATAGATATAACTTTCCTCTAGACTATCTACCTACCTATTCCGCATTACGCAATTCGGCAGAGCCCGGTATTTGCCTCGACGTGCTCGACGGGTTCAACGGGTTCAACGGCAAGCCTCGTTTCGAGAAATAAATAAATAAATAAAAGGGTTATAGTAGTATCTTAATTAGACGGGGCTAGTATCTCTCAAGCCTCTAGTCGTATACATAATCAATACAAATCTGGTCTAGAAATACCAAATGTGACGGTGTGATCCCGCTAAGGACGACTATTGCGGTAGTTCCCTACCATGCAACGCATAACACATGGCAACTAAGTATTATATACCACGAACCTCATAATATATCTCTTCTATTCTGTACTAGGCTAAGCGGGTAGTATCCATCATTGGCGTTTTTCTCATATCTAGATACACAGTAATAACCGTTAGTCTACTTACATCTTGAGATAGGGCTGCTAACGAGATACTTGCCGTCTGCGTACCAGATTGTGTACGAAGATGGGTTGTGGCTGGGATGCGGCTGCTCAGATCCGAGTCTGCCATGTGGTCATACAACGATACAACGGTCTCTTATATTGTGGCTTATTACATAGCTGTTGTACACCTGAGGGTCGAGGCACAGGGCATTTTGCCCAGACGGTTAGTTAATAAACTACTATGTACAGATTACACGCTAACCGCGTTTCTGACGAGTTTGGATGTGTTGCCAACCAGTCAACATGGCCATCACGCTATCTCACTATCTCACCTCTCCTGCTCTTTAATTTGACCTCTCCTAACTATGGTCAACATTACGGTCAACATTAGCAACATGTAGGTCGAAAAGTCGCGACCCTCAACAGACCATTACTACATCACTGCTACATTAATGATCATCGTCAATGCGCCTATCAATAGAGTTGCACTTTCATATCGCGTCCATTCTCCGGGGACCAGACTAACATTATGATAATTTGGCCCATTATGCCGGTGTATGCCTGTCCTTGCATCCC